AAGTTAAAAATATATATTATTTTTTAAACTATAAGTCTTTAAATAAATATTTTTAATAATATATTTCTAAAATAAACTTTCATATAATTTGCCTAAGAAAATAATAAAAAAAGAAAATAATTTAAATAGAAAATAACAAAATCCCAACACAAAAGCCATAAAGTCCCAACCACTATAAAAAGACAAGCCCACCCACTCGTTTGGTAGACAGCCTTTTACACCTTTTATGGGGTAATCATCCTTCTTTTCCAACGGGGTGTGCTTATTAATAATAATTTTATTATTTAAATCTTTAATATTTTCTTTTAAAGGCGGCATACTATTAAAAAACTATATAAAGCAGATACATAAATCCTCAAAAAAAAAAAAAAACAGTTGCGAGATGCAGTTAGGAAAAGAGCAGGAAACAACAGTCGAACGTCTAAGAAACGACCAAACAAGGTAGAAAGTCAAGGAACTGTACGAAAATAAAAGGGCAGAAGACAACCTGAAGCGGAAACGACCGAAGAAAACCACTGAAGAGGTTACATGTAAAACGACAGTAAATTTAGATTATTGACCCACGACAACCGATTACATGTATTTTTATAAAAAAAAACATTTTATTTTCAAAAAGTAAAATAAATAATATTTTAATTGAGTCATTTAACAGAAATAGCTCGGGAAAGCGGTAAACAAAATGACCTTAGTGGTCAATACTGATATAAGGTTCTTACAAGAAATTGCAGTGTCGAAAACAAATAAAAAGAATCATAAGTATGTAATGTTCAAAAGCTTGATAGCTTATTACATATGTTTTAGAATTTTGTGGTCAGGTAGCTGCAATAGATATTGTTAAGAGCCATGTATTGAAATGCGCACATGAGCCGTGTGTCTAATCATTAATGAATAAGAGAGTGTTTGGTTAGAGGTATTAAGTAGTAATTAATGAGATTGGTAATAAAAAAACTGCTTGATTTTATATTAATATAGTGGATGTATTATCTCATAAGGCTAAATTTTGATGAAAATGTACAGAAAAAAATAACATCAACAACACGAATATTCAAAATGCACCACGTTTTAAATATGATTACTGTATAAAAATATTAATTATAAAAAGAAATATCAAATTTCACATTTAATAAGACTGGTAAAACCCAACCAAATATTTCATTTGAATATAGTTATTTTTAATTATATTCAAGATTTTATAGGTCAAACAAGGATACAAAAAATAGGAGGGACGGTAGGAACACTTTTTTTCTTAGGATCGTACCACTAAATATCGGCATGCATAAAAATGGCATGCCAATTGATAGCTAATGATTTACTACCATTAGGCATTGTCCCTTTTGTATCATATTTCATGCCTAGAGATGGGAACGAGCCCGATCGGGGACCTCAATTCCCATTTTCGTCTCTGATATATCTGTAAAAAATAATTACAAGACAAAATTAAATTTACAGAGTAAATTTAATTTTGATATGTATTATAAAGCTTAATTCAGATGTTTTTGATCTTTGAATGAGGTCAAGACACCTCGTTGCTTTGTATGTGGCTTCGTCACTGTATGCAATGGAAAATCTCATCTACCTTGAACTCGGATTTAAATGGTGCAAGAATCCTTATGTCTATGAAGATTCACATACGATAACATCAAACTATTTGTAATCGCCTAGAAGATTAGCCGATAAATTGGTACGATATACGCTAGTTCGAAATCCCATATTAAAAAAATGATGGTATAACAAAAAAAATGTTATTGTAGATGATGTACATTTTTTTTATTAACCTGGATATCCAACCCGTTATGTGAGCCGACTAATCTCAGGGCGACAATTCGTTTTGCGGGTAGCCTGAAGTCACCGCATTTGAACCTTTGTGGAGAGGATTTTTATTCCTCTTCGGATTTGAACCTGGGATCTCCGGACACTTTTGACCTTTAGAGTTCAAGCTCAAACCAATCTGATACGATAATTGCGGGTGATGATATGCATTTTTAGTTGGTTGGTAAGATATCGACGGGGATGTGGGTTCCATTTCGAAAAATTTCATCTTGCTTTTCCCACATTTTATTTTGTCTTGTTGTTAACTGAAAATTGTATATATATATTATAAAATAATTAATAAAATCTTAATGTGTTCCCAAAAATACCCTTACCGTTTACTTTAATTTGTTTGCATTTTCTATTTTATAAAATTAGTATGAGGACCAACTAGTCAGTGCCACGTGTACTGCATCTATCTTTTTGGGGGTTCGTATGCACGAGATGCTTGTGAATCCCTTCTTTTCTATTTGGGATAAGCGGACTAGGTTAATTTATATCATTTATTTGATCATTAAAATATTATATAATATAACAATTAAAATATAATTTAATATAATTAAAATGTTATGATTTTCAATAAAATGATTGAAAGTATATTGTTTAAAATATATTGTTATTTTGTTAAAAATAAATCACATAAAAAAATAATGTACTTTAACTTGATTCATATTTTTTGTATCATACTTTCATTTTGGTACTGTAAAATTTTGAACATTTAAATATCCGAGTAACTAGTTGAATCATTAACCGGTTACCATGCTGATGTGGTATCCAACTCAATATTATTTGTTATTCAACCCAATTTCATCTCATCACTCGCCATATCAGCATAATAACCGGTTAATGCTTCAACCATTTATCCGAGTATTTAAATGTTCAAAACTTTATGTCTTATATATCAAAATGGAAGTTTTGAAATTACATTACTTTTTCATGCAATTTGCCCTAAAAATTATACTGCTAAAAAAAAGTTTTGCGGATTAATAAATTACTATAATTACGAGTGTATATATATATATATATATATATATATATATATCAGAATTCTTTTTTAAGCATACAGCTCATAATACATAAACCCGCAACAATTATTTTATCTATTTTGATAATATTACATTTATAATACGTTAACCGATGTATATTTGCTAATTTACTAAATATTACATAAGTATAATGTTATATTGCATAATATTTAGGTTTTTTTTACTAAGTTTCAATCAGCTAAGCAAATCCAGTAAAAAAACCCGTTTTAAGATGTAAAATCCATATCGAGAAAAGATGAATAAAATATCGTGTTTTAAGTTTCAATCATCGAACATATACTTTCATTTTTCTGTTCCTATTAAGACAAAAGGCAAGATAAGTAATCTGCAATATGTTAGTATAAAAACAAAGTTTACACATGTTGGTATACAACGAAGTCCTACGCATGTTATCACAACCAAATGAGTTGAAATCTTAAGGGGACAACTGGATGACGAGAAATGGCCCACGAGAACGACATATGAATAATTCATTTTTCTCATACGGATCGTCACATTTATCTAAAGTTTGTAAACTGATGAGTTAGATAACAAGTTCAAAATATGATGTGTTGATTTAACTGTAGTTTTAGATGAGGGGCCGTTTACCAAATACTTACTTGGTAAGTGTTTACCAGTAAAATTTAGCACTATTATTTACTTATCGGGTAAGATTTTAGTCCATCAAAACGACATCGCATGCAACAATTTATCCGGTAATCGCTTACCGTGGTAAGAGCCGTGACTCTCATTTACCGGGTAAGACTATTGGTCATTGTCTCGCTCTTACCGGGTAGAATTTTTGGTCCTTACTATATTCATTCGGTTAGATAAATGTGACTTGATAAACGCTTACCCGGGTAAGCGTTTGGTAAACGACCCCTTAGTCCCTCAAGCATTTTTTGTTGTTGTCTGTTTTTTAAAATTTATAAATAATTAGTTTATTAAATACGATTACAAAAATTATACTATTAAAATATAATATGAAAATTTTAATACATATAATAAATATTATTGTGAACATCTTTCAAACGTTTCAGTTAAGTTTCTTTAACTTGTTTAAATGAGAAAATGTAAGCGACCTTGGGATATTTAGATAAACGGGTTGAAATTGATATTACGTTACATGCAAATAGCGGCATTGATTTTGATCTATAAATGACAAAATGCGTCTAAATGCAATAAATTCTGCTTTAATTTATCTGTACCTTGCTGATTTGGTGACATTTGATGACATGAATGTCAAGTTTATCATTCAATTCATCGTAAACTTTACATAAATGGGTATCCGCATGGTAAAATATTACAAGATTAACAGGTTACCTGTCAAAATAAATAAAAACATTTCTTTTAAAACTTTATTACATTAATTGAAAAAGTTATTTGTTATATTAAATATGAGGCTGTTTGGTTGTTTTTTCCATTAAGTTTTGTATGTATAAAGTTGTCTATGTAGATTGATCTGTATGAATAAAATTGAGAAAGTTTTTATTTAAGAAGAGTTTTTTCATATATGAAAGGAACGTGCTTTCCAATTGGAAGAAACATGTTTTGAATTTTTTTGGGTTTTTGATATAAAGCTTCCCTTAAACTTATTGAATAAGACACTTTTTACATCATTATATCAATATCAAAAAGTCATGTATAACAGACCAAATAAACTCTAAAGTGATTGTTTACCAAACACTTACTCGGTAAACATTTACCGGTAAATTTAACACTATTATTGATTTACCGGATAAGATTTTAGTCCACTAAAACGGTATCGTATGCAACAATTTACCCGGTAAGCGTTTACCGTAGTAAGAGTCGTCGTTCTCATTTACCGGGTAAGACTCTTGGTCCTTATCTCGCTCAATCCGGGTAATTTTTTTGATCCTTATCATATTCATCCGGTAAGATAAAATGACTTGATGGACACCTTCTCATTAAACCATTGATAAACATGCTATAAAAATTAAACCAAAATAATAAAAATATTTTATTAAATTAGGGAGAGGAATAGAGGATTCAGTGGATACTCTATACTGTAGACCGGACCAAAACCTTTTGCCCTTTTAACTTTCTCACTCTAAGAAGGCTGTTCTTCCCAGTAAGATTGGAAAAGTGCGGTTTCATTTGCTTGCCTTCCATGGAAGCTCATCGCTTCCAAAGCAACCACAAACTCTTTACCTAAGAACGCTATATTCAAGATTGTGTTCGTCATTTCTTATTGTGCTTCAGATCTAATCAGAATTTGTAAATGTAGCGGCAAAGGATAGGGGGATTACATTTATGTGATTATTGATTCGGGTTTGTACTAGTTTAAAAGTTGAATTCCACAATGGCGTCGAGGCCAGCCGGATTGCAGCAACCAAGGAAATCGACTTCGAAATATGCGAATTCGCCTTCTTCGTCGACTACTTCGTCTTCGAAACAGTTCCCAGAAGCGTCTGTTGATAATCTCAGCTCACCGGCGTCATCTGCTAGAAGCAAGCCGCAATACTTTTACTCCGAGAGTTTGCCATTGGATTGTGAGAGATCGAAAGAGAATGTCACTGTTACTGTCCGGTTCCGGCCTCTCAGGTGATCAACTCGTGGTACAATATTATGGTTTAATATATTTACACATATTGCGGTTAAATTGGTTGTAAAATAACTTTTTGAGAACAGTCCGAGGGAAATACGGCGAGGGGAGGAGATTGCGTGGTACGCGGATGGAGAAACTATTCTACGGAATGAGCAGACTCCATCAATAGCTTATGCATACGGTATGGTTAGATATGGTTATACCGTTTATTACTATTTTAGAGTTGATTTTATTGATGATCATGAGTTATGCTTTAAACTGGAAAATAGGAAAATAGTTAAAATTAGAATCAACTTTAACAGTAATGAATATTCTAGACCTTGGATTTTTTTACCACCAAAGCGCCAGTGTTCTTCATATTATTGGACGGGGTACTGGAGACAACTAGTTAAACAATTAACCACTAATAATTGTTTATTGACTTCTTGAACCATTCTAGTTGGCTTTTTGTGTCGAACAAAATAATTGTTATTTGTTCCTCTAAAAGGCAAGAGAACAGTACACTTGCAGGATCAATTGAATATTGGACAAAAAGTGAGAAATACAATAGTTAGTTTGCAATAGGAATACAAACACAATGGTTCAGAAGGACAATCCCTCGTGGGTAAATTATGTTAGTGAAGGGCACAGAAATACTGCAAACCCTGGTTGTTTATGGGAATTTTTTTTAAAGAGCTGCTAATTAGATTGTTTTGGTCTCTTCTGTATTCCCAGTTTGGCTTAATACCACTGCATGCATTTAAAAATTAGAACTCTGCTGGAATTGGTTTACTAGATGTCAATTACTGGAAGTATCAAATGTGTCGGTACAGAAATTGTATTAGTGGAACTTCTTTGACTGTTACTGGGGTATAAGAAAGGTTGGCAGAGCCAATAGAATGAATGCCTATAAGCATTCAAAACATAGGAGAAGGCAGAAAGAATCATCCATATGTAGTTCAATTGTTAGATGGCTAGATGATGGCACCGATGAGGAAGGTGGAGATCATAATGGTTGAGGAGGTGAGGCTAACCTACGAGGACGTGGGATGAGCAGCTGAGGCTGGACATGGAGGCCTTAGAACTTTCTGAGGACATACCTTCTTATAATACTTGGAAACAACGGAATTGGACATAATCCCATGTAGTCCAATGTCTTCTTTATGTGTATCTTCTTTCCAAACTCATATCTGATATCAAACAGCCAGCTTAACCAACGATGTTGCATGGTCATGCACAGTTAACAAGGATAAAAATTTGCAACTTCTGGGTTATACTTATTATATGGAGTTTTTTGCTTTGAAGCAACCAGATAATTGCAAGTATTATACAATTGGAAAGTAATCAATCAATGATGTATAAGAGCATCAGCTCCTATAGAATGACCCTTGGTTTCCTCATTTAGCCCTTTAAATGGTCTAAGGCCATGTTTGGCAACCACAAGCTAGCTTTTTAGAGTTTATCGAAAAAAGTCCCATTTTGTTAGCATAAGCTATATTTTTGAAAAAGCTCCACTTCAAGTAGCGTTTCAATAAACTATAGGGGCTTTTTGCCTTCATTTTTCCAATTATACCCCTTATATATTTCCAACTAGTTTTTCAACTTGTCCTTTTAGGCAATTTTACATTGTCATAATGTTGTGTAGCTTATCAACTATTTTTTTTACCAACCATGACTAGTTTATGAGCTAAACTAGCTTATCAACAGCTCCTGGTTTATTATCCAACAAAATAGCTTATCAGCTAGTTTGCCCAACACAGCCTTAGAAAATTTACTTCATTATAGTTTCTATAGTGAATGAGAAACAGAAGGGATTTTGAACATTTAACCGACTCCATCTTAGGGCAACCTCTTCTCCAAAGTCAAAAATATAAAAATACTCGGTGCATGATTTGCATTCACTAAATCATTACTGCTCTTGAAGAAGGAATGACCTCATTGTAGTGTAATCAACTGTATTGTTCTAGGAAGATGACATATGTTCTGTTTGTTGGATTTGATTTTTCTTCTACATGTTTGTCGTATTATTTTCATAACTTCATCCACCTATACAGTAAGGATCTTTCTAAGGTAAATTATATTTGGACTTCTGTGAGGTTCGTATATCTTGACTGGTCTTGTAAATCTCATTTTTGTTTTTTCTTTTATCATAATTTGTATCTAGATCGGGTGTTTGGGCCTACAACCACAACACGTCATGTATATGATATTGCAGCCCAACATGTTGTTAGCGGTGCCATGGAAGGTGTTAACGGTATTATTCTGTTCTTTTTATGTAGCTTACTCATTTTTGTTTTTTAGACCTTTAAAATTGGGACATGGGATCTGCAAAAATCACATTGGGATCTTTGACCTGGAGTAAACATACTAGTTCTGTAGCTGTGTTATCATGTTCTTGTTATTTTTTTCTACTTATTCTGCTGCACCCCCTACCTTTCATAAGGAGAGAAAACTCCAAACACAGAAGCAGCATGCAACTACTACAAGGCATCTATTAAATCTGGTAGAAGTACAAGTCTCCTGAAATATACTGATGAGATATACAAAAGTGATCCAGAAAAAATACGAGGCTCTAATTGAAGTGGTACGAACAATGACTACAATTACTCCATCAGTTAATAAGCTAAAGCCATTAGCAAATAGATTCCAACTAAGATATTGCTATCCATGAGTAGCTTTTAATTTGTTAAAAACCCTACCTCTGTACTTGAATACATGGTGTTGAGAAGAAAAGAACTACAATAAAACAATAACAAAAACAAAATATATGTATGTATGCCTATATATAATATGAGATGATTAGCTCATGAATAGGCAACATTAAATCAAGGACATCAGCCACATGTAACGAGGTATATATTGAGAAGCAAGCTAAAGGTTCAATGGATATAAATAAAACTGAGATATGATTGTGAGCTAATAACCACAACAACCCTGCATCATCTTGACCACCGCTCTCTGTGATATCAAGGTATACACAACAAGAGACTACCTTATTATGATAGAAGATTGTGCCCCTGCCATCTCCTCCAGATCAGGTATGAACACATAGGCTACAATGGGCATCAGCTAAGTGCACAATTGTTCAACTCCTGGAACAAAAATATATATTTTGGTATAGACAGAACGGGTCCAATCTTTCTCTTATTGGTACCAATTGTGGATTTACAAACACTACCAGAGATCATGTAATGTTATCCCCATATATTCACATTGCCATTATTTACCCATATAGGGTCTAGTTTACTCGCAGAGTTCAATAGCATCCTGCACTGAACAAGTCTATGTCGCAGAGAACAACTAATGGGTCCATCCTGATAGTGCTTGGATCAGGTTTAATGGGGGTTTTATATCACCAATAAAACAAGGTAAAAGATAATACATTTATACAACAAAGTTTGAAGGCTTTGCACAGTCACTATATCAATTGTCATAAGGAAACAATCGTGAACAGGTACAAGGCCTCATGCATAGTATGAAAGTGAACAATACATTGTTGTCCAAATACAATATATTTTCAAAAACTACAAACAAAAACACAAGTAATCAAACACACATTCTAACATTTTAAATTTGGTATTGTTCACAAATTTCATAAAATGGTCGAAAGGGTATGCATTTTAGAAAACAAGCACAAATCGTGTTAACCACGTTGTTTCAGATGTTTGGTTGCTATGATTTGACCTACCCATCCTCAGATCAGTGTTAGTTTGTATGTAAAAGGCTTAAAGCTAGCGGCCTTCTGCTTTTAATTTTTATCAACTATTTCTCACCCCTCGGGGCGGGGAGTGTGTCGTGTCGTGTATGTTTTATTGGGATGTCTTTGTGTGCCATTCTTTGCGACTCTGAAATAAATCTTGCATGATCTGTTTCAATTACAGGAACTATTTTTGCCTATGGCGTGACAAGTAGTGGAAAGACTCACACCATGCATGTAAGTATATCACCTCTTTTTCCTTCGTTTACTTAAGTATCTTATGCAGTTTTCAGTGGTAGGTATATATTTCAACAAGCTATATAGTCTTGTATTAAACTATTACATGGAACTTGTAAGCTTACTAAGCAATTTTCCTAACACAGTAAGTGGGATTGAGTGGGGGGTTCATTTATGGCATGATCCGTTTCCTTCCATCTACAATGTATCCCGAATCTCAATGTATAAATGGACAATTGTCCTCAATACTATGTGGTCTATAATATGAGGCTTACAAGCTATGCTAAGCTTGGTAACAGTCTGGTTTTCGTAAGGGGTGTAGCTGTAATCCTTGATACGGATTTGCTTGTGGACACTATGTGCTTATGGTGAATATTATGGCATGACTATGGCATAATGCATTACAAAACTATGATGGATCACTTTTCCAGAGCTTGCTAATTACATAATTTAGGTTATGATCCAAGCAAGTACTTTACCAAATATCATGTACACTTTCGAGGATAATCTTCTACCAAAACACTGCCAAGCCATGAGTCACCTTTATGCCAATTAAAGTTTTCCATGGAAGATAGAAAACTGTCTAAAGGCTTAATCAAATGTCTGCATGTGTAGAGAGATGCTCCCTTCTTGCCAAGAAACTGAACTTTAAAGGCTCGTTTGGTTCCTGATGGAGATAGCAACGTTCTTTGCTTTATTGATGTCTTAATGAGTATGTAACACAATGGTTTCTAACTACGATCATCTTTGCCTGTAAACATGTGCTTGTTATTTTACCCCGGGGCGCAGCTTACCCTTGTTCACTAATATGACGGTTCAGCAAGGCCTCTCATAATAATTATTTCACCTTTTTTATGGTGACAGACACCCTAGTTACAAGTGTGAGTGTTCATCAAGCCACTTATGCAGTAGTTTGTTGTCCTCTGATTTTGCATATGTTAGATTTCTTTTCTTTTAGAAGTTCTCCTTTTGTTCATAATCTTCAAGGTACTGTGGTAATTAGCTGGGGCTTACAATTTCTCAGCTAGTCAGCTTAACCTTCAAACTTTTTAGGCCACATCAACACATGAACTATTAAGCTGTCATAAACCCTTTCCCTCCTTCCCTCCCCTCCCTACTCCCCCCTCTCTAGTATACACTTCATTTCAATTTTCGTATCTTAATCATACACACATGACAGGGTGATCAGAGATCTCCAGGAATTATTCCCTTGGCTGTAAAGGATGCATTTAGTATCATTCAAGAGGTACAGATTCTGAAAGTTCTGATACCATCTAATAAGTTTTACTTGTTCAAGAGAAAGATAATTATGCTGTTTTTATTTTCAGACTCCAAACCATGAATTTCTTCTTCGTGTCTCATATTTGGAAATTTACAATGAGGTGAGAAATCTCTTCACCGATTCACTTGTTTTTGCTTGCTGCATAATAAAAAAAATCTGATCTACTATTTATGTCCCTTCAACTTCTATAATAGCCAGTAGTCTTAATTCTCAAAGTTGAGCATAGCATACAAGAGTAAGCTTGTGACAAACTTCATGTGTCATTTTCAGATGGGTATTTTATTTTCTGTTGTGTTATCGTCACTAGCTGGCTCTTGTATCAGCCTATTCTCAAGGGAAAAGCCATGTCTAATTCTGCCACCTATTTACACATACATCATTCTCTGTTTCTTTCTTTACTTTTTTACTGTTTTTGGTAATCTTGCTGTTTTAAACTATGTGTTTTCCGCAGGTTGTTAATGACTTGTTGAACCCAGCAGGACAAGATTTAAGAATACGAGAGGACGGTCAGGTAATTTATGTATTTCATCTTCTGATACTTGTTTTCACATGATATCTATATACAACATCAATTCCCACATTTGTCAGTACCTGTATCATGTGCTAGTGCTGGATATTGGATTGTGCTCAAACTGTGCTGTTCATATACAAACTATAGAAATTCAGAATAATTTGAGAAACAAACTAATTTGTGTTAGCTTAAACAAACAAAGAAGGGTTAAACATCTGAATTTGGGTGTCTTGTAAGCTAAAACTTTGAAAATTAGGTTTCATGCTTGCCTAGAATAAACAGGTCTGTTCTAGTTATCGTTGAAGGTACCTGAAAATCTGAACCCTAGAGTCAAAGCTACTTTTGCTTTGTCAGGAAAGGTGGGTAACAAATCGATAAGATTTGTAGTTGAGCTTCTTGGCATAAAAATAGTACTGCTAGCACTCATCTATAAGTTTCACAACACAAGAAGGAATATTGTTTGGTTGATGAGTCAAGATGGTAGAGGTTTCATTGAAAAATGCATCTGCAATTCAACGTCACCTTGGAAAGTGGAACACTGAACATAAATTTTAATATAGTAATATAATATGTTATGCATTTATTGTTTTAATCTTATTTCCTGTCGTTTACTGTGCGCACTTGCTCTACTTGTTTTAATCTTATTTCATGTTGTTTAATGTGCGTTTTTCTATCCCACCAAGCTTCTCATCAACTCTTCAAAACTTCTTTTCTTGCATTTGTAAGTCTTACTCTTTGCAAAAACTTTTCGCAAACCAGGGGTCTTCACGGAAACAACCTCTTTTATCCTTGGGTAAGAGGAAAGACTGCATACATCTTACCCTCCCTAGACCCCACTTTGCTTGGGATTTACAGGGTTCATTTGGTTTGGTTTATTAATGGCAGGTTCCAAACGCCTCTTCATTAAGATGTAGAGCATTCCTTAATTGACATCTCAAAGTTGACCAGTACAAAAACATGTGATATGTCCTCATTTACGTACCCCAGAGGCAGTACTTTTATCCTGCTGAGCTTGTGTATTGTCCTATTCCACACTTTATTCTATTTTAGATGGCATAACTGCTTTTTCAACCCGACAATCTAATTCTACTTCAATAAAATGTTCAAATACTTGTAAATCAAAATAATTTGTGGAATAATTGTTTCTTGTAGGGAACCTTTGTCGAAGGAATAAAGGAGGAAGTTGTGTTATCTCCTGCCCATGCTCTTTCTCTTATTGCAGCCGGAGAAGGTACTTCTATTCTGGGCCTTAGCTCCAGGTCTTGATGTTTCTCATCGAGCGTGTACACCATTTCAAATAATCTTGGGTTTCGACATAGGGCAATCTCTTACTAGTACTTTCTAGTGCATTATATATTTGGGTGGTTCCGTGGAAACATCAAGTTCTTCATTCACTTTTCTTGCTGTGGTTTTACCTAACTTTGTCTTTTTTTTCCCTATTCCTTTTTGGCCTCGGGTACGTTTCTGCATAATAATGCGAGCACTAACCTTTTGGTAGCATCTATTTGAAGCCATTTGTATATAATCCATGATGCGATGCAGACATGTAATTTGTGACAATTTTTTCATTTCCATGCATCATGCGTGCATTTGTTTTGATTAAGTTGTATATCCTTTAAAACTGGTTTATTGACTGAGAACTTGCATTCAAATCCTACAGTTAAAAACAAACCACAGTTGGTTTTTCTCGCCTATCCCTTTGCACCTATTTTGGTATCATGGCTTCCAATCACTACATGTTATTATGTTTCTTTGAGACTGGTTCACTAGCTTTTGCTTTTATTTTGTGGGAATCTAATTGATATTTTGGTCTTTTGCCCTTTCTTATTACAGAGCACAGACATGTTGGTTCAACAAATTTTAATTTGCTCAGCAGCAGAAGTCACACAATATTTACTCTGGTAACTGTCAGTCTATTGCAAAATGAATTTCCTATTTTTGGCCATTGCTTTCAATCATTATTATAATACTTACTGTTTACTTCTAGAATCACTTGGTGTGTTTCATTTTGCCATGTAAAAGCCAGATGTTACACAAATAATAGACATAAAAACGACAGTACTGATGGATGTTTACTGCAGATCTGACTGTAAAAATATCCTTGTATTCGAGCATACCGCTTCTCATGCTATCTATTTATTACAAGTTCTCTGTTTTTTCCAAAAGTCCAACTGGTTTTTTTCCCCATCTTTATTGATTGGATTAGTGGAGTCAAGAGTAGATATATTATTAATAAGTCAAGTAAACTTGAGGTTTATTTGCATTAAATAGGGTTTCAGTTCATCTATTTACTACTAACTGCCCCGTCTTGTACATTTATATACGGGATATACTGCTACATGGTATAGGCTTTAACAACCAACCCTGCCTCATCAAAAGAAGCTGCCAGCAGCAGCCTAGCCACTGCCTTAGCGTTCATCTTGGGTTGCTAAGGACAACAAACCCTTTTTAGGAAACATACTTTTATCTCACGTGCACAGGTAACTCCTTCGTGACCATCAGCCTTTGTGGAGCTGTTGTGGCCATCTGGATTCCTGTCAAGTACCTTGGCTGCTAGAACTTCCGTTGGCAACTTTGTCATGCCATCAGAATCCCTTGTTGCGACATCAGCATCCCTCATTAGAAGGATTCGTAAGAGAATATGAAAAACATAAGGTCCATGCCACCCATAGACTGCTGATTCCTAAACAGTTCTTCTCAACCGTCTTACTTCCTCATCTGTCTGTGCTACGTATGAGGTGCACATGTTGCTTCTCGACTGATACTTCAGTTTGGGGAAAGGAGGAAGATCTAACTCAGGATCAAGTATAAGATTCAGTTCTATTATTGCAAGAAATATGGACACCAAATGGCACTGCATGAGTTATCACAAATGAAGGTCCTGGTTATCAGCACCAACTCATTCTCTTTGTCTTTGATGCTTCTTCAGATAATGCCTTTCCTGCTAGCTCCTGATGCAAATTCACCTCCTCTTGTTACTCCGACGTCTACATCATGCGCAATTTACTTGTAATGCTAATATAGCATCTATAGACACCTCTTCTACCTATCTTTCTCATTTATTCATCTTGCATCATCATTTTGGGTGCCTTTAACATATATTGGAATATGAATATTTTGTCTTGTGCTGTCTCCTTTTTCCCACCCACATGTGAGATTATCCAGGTGGTTCTTGTTCAATTGTTGGTCCCTGCTCTCCTAATATTGCACATAATGTAGCTTTTGCTATTTGTTCTATATGTCTCAATATTTCCCAAGTCTTACCCTTCTTTATGAAATACTTACAGATATTAATCTTCTATTATTTTTTCTTCCTGTGTATAAATCCTGCAAATCCGCTTAAAGGACATTCTCTTTCTTTTGTAAATGTTTCCTATTTGTTCCTGAACTATTACATGTGTTTGGTTCTTCATTTCTTTCTCGAGTTTAAACATGTTTTCATATTATTTTACCTTTTAACAGACAATAGAGAGCAGCCCTTGTGAAAACAGCGAAAGCGAGGCTGTTAACTTTTCACAGTTGGTATGTTTCTGAACCTCATGTTAGACTTGTTTCCCGTGCTATTGCTATCACAAGGGGTTGTAATTGACTAAAAAGTGCTTCACCTGAATTTATTTTTATTTGTTTACTAGCCGATCTGGTAAATTTGGCTCCATACCACCTCTTTTACGCACCATTGATGCAGGAACATGTCTCCTGTTTTGGTTTAACCACTTGTATTTCACTTTGAATTGCAGAACCTCATAGATCTGGCAGGTTCTGAGAGCTCCAAGGCTGAAACCACTGGTGTTCGTCAAAAAGAAGGGTCCTACATTAATAAAAGCCTGCTAACTCTTGGAACTGTGAGGCCTCAATCATTGGCATTATTTTATCAGTGTAATAAAGTTTGCATCATATTACTCTACAAATGTTCACTTCTTGCCGTACTACTGTTTGTTATTTAACTCATCCAACTGCAACAAATTCTATAATATTTCTATGATGAAAAAGAGAAACAGGTTCCGCCCTGACTAGCTTTTACCTTTTCAATGTTAATGTCATACTTCTACCAAGGGACTTTGATCACTATATTAGAAGTCCTGTTGCAACAATTTCCTAGAAATAGGTGTCACCATGACTACCTTTTGATCTATTTGTTGTAATTGATATTGTCTGAAATGCCTATTCCGTAGCATTTAAGTTGAGGTTGTTGTTCTTGTTGGAGATTGATTGTTTCACCAGCTTAATCATTTAAATAAGGTGGTGACTGAACATGCATGACATAAAGCTCTCCACAGATTACAGAACTCTAGATAAAGATCGAAAAACACCAACACCCAACTAACATTACCTCTTTTTAAAGTAGAATGGGCCTTAAGGATCATGATGTTATTTTGTTTTTGCTGAATATAGATTGTTTCTATTCTATTAATTGGAGCTCTTTTTGCTAACTTGGAACTATCACAGGTCATATCGAAATTAACAGATGGGAGAAATTCTCATATACCATATAGGGAGTCAAAATTGACCAGGCTTCTTCAATCTTCGTTAAGTGGTCATGGAAGAGTATCCGTAAGTCTTATATATGAGCTTCAATTTATCAAAAAAGCATGTCCCGTAGTCGCTTAATAAAAGCAACTCTTGGTTCTATGGGACCATTATACTATTTGCTAATGGACGCATATTTGTTTCCTTCTCTTTCAGCTAATTTGCACTGTTACTCCCTCGTCAAGCAATTCAGAAGAGACACATAACACATTAAAATTTGCCCACCGTGCAAAACACATTGAAGTTCAGGCCGCTCAAAACAAGGTATATTTGTTTAACTTCTCTGCACTTAAAAAAAATAGTCGTCCTTGACGGTTGTTGGAATTAACCTTTAACTTTGCAGATCGTTGATGAGAAGTCCCTTATCAAGAAATATCAAAGCGAAATTCGATCTTTAAAAGAAGAATTGGAACAATTAAAGAGAGGAGTCGTGACAGTTCCTCAATTGAAACATACCGGCAGCGATGATTTTGTTATCCTTAAACAAAAGGTACCCTCATCAACTAGATTCTTGCCATTACGTTGAATGCCACATTTATCTTTTCTCAAAAGATCTCAGCCTGATTAATCAGTTGTTTTTGCTTTGAGGAGAAGGCAGAAATAAAATATTAGAAACTAATTTTTCGTGGTGATCGTCTTTTCTAAATCTTGTTAAAGAAATTTCTTACCATTTAATTCGTTTGTCTTTAAGCATTATAAGAATTGCTCACTATGGCAATAGGGAAGTATCTTGTTTTATGGCTGGAAGATGTCACCTGGTTGAGGGAAACTGCATGACAATCTTCTTCGATTTGTTTTTCCAAGATTATATTTGTACCATGAATTTTTATAATCTTGGGCATTGTGGAATGACAATGTATGTAATCCTGGAACCAAGTATCTAGGTTGATAAGTCAGTGGGAGCTACTGAATCTCAAATGTCTACATCGATATATACCCAAAATTGTATCAGCATCATCTGACCATAAAATTCCTTGACAAAGTATTATTGGCCCTTCTCCTATTGGTGATAGGGAGGTTTTCTATTATTCATCCAGTTCTTTTGAATTTGTGTAATGTGTAAAGCTAGAAGATGGTCGAGTCAAGCTACAGTCAAGACTGGAGGAAGAAGAAGCTAAAGCAGCTTTGTTAAGCCGAATACAGAGACTGACAAAATTAATTTTAGTCTCCACCAAATCTTCGCACTCGTCTGGATTTTCTGGTCATCCTGGTCTAAGGAGAGGACATTCCTTTGGGGAAGAAGAGGTCAGATTGCATTAACTGTTGGTTTCCTCTTCTTGTTTCTTTGAGTTTGTGATAGTGCATTTAGTTGTACATGCAAATATTCTAATATAATTCTTTATATCTGTTTCAAGCATATATATGAAACATACTGATGCAACTAAACTGCATTTTTATCTTTTATTTAGTTTTATCTCTTTCTTCTCTTTCAAACTTTTGTCAAACTTTCGGTACCAATTTTTGTGTCGCAAAATTCTTTTCTCAAAACCCTTTTTCAAGCCAGGGGTTTTCACATAAACAACCTCTACTCCTCGGGATAAAGATAAGGTCTGTGTACATCCTACCTTCCTAGTAACAATTCCATGCGGGATTCACTAGGTTCGTTTGATTTGGTTTTCTAATGCAACTAAACTGATCTCTCCAAATCGGCAGCTTGCATATCTCCCGCACAGAAGGCGTGACTTAAGTTTGGATGATGAAAACATTGAGTTGTATGTTTCTCTTGACGGAAGTGTGGAAACAAACAATGATGTGCTGAAGGAGGAGAAAAAAATCAAGAAGCCAGGATTGCTAAACTGGTTAAAACTGCGGGTTAGTCTCCTATATTCCTGTCATTGTGTACTAGACTTATTATCAGGTTGAACCGACATCATATTATGAGCTACTTATATTAATGTTTTAAGGAATAAAGTCTCACTGTTTGATATACGTAATCTTCTTTTTTTGAGAAACTTCATCTTTTACTAAATAATAGATGCATGGTATACATGAAAAGACCTGCTGTTGCAATCATTATAAGATTATTTTATGACCCCTTCTATAAGTTTGAACTTGCTAAGTTTTGTAAATTGTTTATTGCTTTTATTAGAAACGAGATGGGGCTTTGACTGCAAGTGATAAATCAAGTGGGGCCAAATCTATTAGTCCGCTTTCAACTCCTTCAGCAGGTCATAATCATCCTATCGAATCCGTACATTCACACTTTTTTCCTACAGAATGCACATCTGCTGAGTCCTTGTCGGTGGCCAAACAAGATCGACAAATTGATGATGATGCTTGTTCACAGCAAGAGACTCCTATGGTATGCCTTCTATATATGTTTTAATTTTTAGTACATACCTTGCATGAATGGGTATTAGGAAGATGTATCGAACAAGTGTCACTATGTGCGGAACTCATGGTTCAAGGTCCTTATATATATATATATATGAGTGGGGTTCATACAAGAATGGTATCTATTTAAGAAAATAAGAAAATGGCTGAATCACATGCTATTTTACACTAACATTACGTACATATATATATAAGAGTCGGGTTCATACAAAAATGGTATCTATTTAAGAAAATGGCCGAATCGCATATGATTCACGCGACCTTGCCACGCGGCCATAGGGTCGCCCGCACACTTTTTTGGCCGTTAATGTAAAATCACATGTGATTTTGTACAAAATTTGGCCATTTTCTTAAATAGGTACCATTCTCATATGAACCTACCTCATATATATATATAGGTGAAGGATCGTGTGAGAGAGAACTAAGGTAAGAAGCGTAAGAAGAGATCTGGACCCTTGATCACCTTTAATCTCAAACCCACCCATGACTAGGTGCTTGATATGGGAATTGATCCGGTGCATCTCATCCTAATGTGCATCTAAGGGTGGAGATCCCTTACGCTTCTCACCTTAACTCTCCCTCTCACCGGAACCCAACCCTATATATATATATATATATATATATATGTCCTACATATGTACAGTCATACTTCTCAATAACACTAACAAGAATCCTGGTTTTTGGACCTATGAGTTGTGGAGAAAGTATATGAGTTGCATGACTGCTTACAGTTCCAATGCTTTGTTGTTTTATGTGGCTTTGATCTTTGGATTTTCCAGGCTATTTATCTGAAATCTAGATTTCTTTTTATTTTATATATATATATATATATATGTCCTACATATGTACAGTCATACTTCTCAATAACACTAACAAGAATCCTGGTTTTTGGACCTATGAGTTSTGGAGAAAGTATATGAGTTGCATGACTGCTTACAGTTCCAATGCTTTGTTGTTTTATGTGGCTTTGATCTTTGGATTTTCCAGGCTATTCATCTGAAATCTAGATTTCTTTTCATTTTTTGCATTGCTTTGAATTATTGGTTCTTGGGATGAATAATCTAGTTATGTTTTATTTTTGCCGTTGCCTAATATTTGATGGCTCTTCTATTTGTGCCCGCACCGTATGAGCCCCCTTGTTTATGTGTGTAATGGGGTACTTCCAGCTGCAGAAGCACTTAAGAATTAGGATATATTAGCGTCAAGCTCAGTTAGGGGTTGTTTGGTTGGTTTTCCATCAAGTTCTGTATGAATAAAGCTGTTTGTGTGGATTAATCTGGCTGTATAGATTGTGAAGGTTTTTGTTTGAGAGTGCTTTTTTATAGATGAAAGGAGTGTGTTTTGTAATTGGAAGGAGTAGGTTTGGAAAAAACTTATCTTTATGCATGAAGCACCCCAGTAGAAGCTTACTGAATGAGCTATTTTCATATCATTAAGCCACTACCAAACATTCATGTATAGCTCGCCGAATAAACTGTGAGACCCGTTAAACTCATTAAGCTGCTAACAAAAAGAGGCTTATATCTTATAATTTTCATCCCATATCAACTGCTGTCAATAAACCAATGATAATCACTCCTGTACCTTCAATATGTAGGCAGAGAAAACCAGATTGAATGATGAAATCAAATTGAAGAACGAACAAATCTCATTTCTGGAAAGCCAAATTGCCGATTCCGTCGCATCATCTCATCACACAAGGGATGAAGCCGAACAATCAAGAGTGGGTGCTACCACTTTTTATATGCCTGCAGCTTAATATTTTCATTGTAAGCTAAAGTTAGTATCTTATGCAGTCTGTTTCCGAGCTAGAAGCACAATTAAATGAGAAATCCTTCGAGCTTGAGGTATTTCATCTTGCAAGAAATTGTTTTTTTAATCTTTTGACCTACTGTTTTTTTGTCTTTCTTGGCATACCAAACATCTTTACACATTGATTCACCAAAACCACATCTATTATTTACAATGTAAAATTTCCTGGGGTCAAGGCTATGTTTGGTAAACTAGCAGAAAAGCAAGTTGTTGGCTAATAAGGTTGTTGTTAGTTGATAAACTAGTCATGTTTGGTAAAAACTAGATGAAAAGCTTGGTGGCAATGTAAAATGACACCTAAAAGGACGTGTTGAAATTTTAATTAGAAAAACATAAGAACATCTCCAACAAATATGCTACTTTTAGAAATTTTGGAGATCGGAGAAAAGTTTGCTCCAACACCTATGCTAAACTCTCCTCTAAAATAGAGAAAAAAGGATATAGAATGGAGTCATCTCCAAATTTGGGAAGAGAGAAAATATAGCATACCTGTTGGAGATGCTCTAAGGGGCATAATTGGAAAAGCTCCAGGAGCTTATTGAAACTCTACTCGAAGTAGATGTTCAGAAAGCTAGCTTATGGCTAACCAAACATGGTTTTTATGGTTGCCAAACAAGGCATAACTAATCGTTAGCAATACATGATAGCGTTAACCATCAACCCAACCCACAATGCAGGAAACAAAAAACCAAGTTAGCTGCAACGCTCATAAAAGATGTCTGGAAGTAATTCGTTTAGGGATCTTTTAAGTTAGATTTGTTGACAATTTCATAAAGAAGAGCAAAAAGTTTATATGGGATCTGGAGAAACAAAAGCATAATGAAGATATTACTTTCACTCTCTTATGTCTGTTTTTAACTTGGATGATGTTCTACCATCTTTTTTGACAGGTGAAAACCGCAGATAATCGAATAATTCAAGAACAGCTCAACAAAAAGGTACAAAAACAGTGCAGATTTAAGAAAAGGGAAATTGATCAAAATAGCCAATCTTCCCAACCAGCTTCACTTTTTAGCCACTTTTCAATTGAATTCCCATTTTAGTCGGAGTTTACGCAACTGTCTTCTGCATAAACTCGATTTTCAGATTAAAAAAAAGAAAGATTTTTTTGCGTAAACATTCAGATTTTTGCGTAAAGAATTCTTACGCATATGCGTAAAGAATTTTTTTTCTTTTTTTCTTTTTTCCAGAAATCAGTCTTTACACAAATGCGTAAATATCTGCATAAAGACTGCTGGTGGGAAGAGGCTTTGAAAAGTAGCTAGAAAATGAATTTGGTTGATGGGATTGGCTATTTCGGTCAATTTCCCTAAAAATTCTCCTTGGAACTTCCATTTACGCCTTCATTTTCCTTTCCTTTGATGTCCCGTTATTTTACATTTCTACCAGATCAATGAATGTGAAGGACTACAAGAAACCATTGCATCCTTGAAACAACTTCTTTCCGATACACATGATTCAAGAAACGTAAGCCTAGTAAAAATGGAAGATACAAAGGAAGACTTGCTTCGGCAGGCTCAGGTTCATTCATCATTCGCATATCACCAGTTCTTGCATATAATTTCATGTTAAGTTGAGAAATGCTGCATAAGAAACAAATGCAAAATGCAACAAAATTTGATTTAGTTCCTATTTGATGTAATGAAGAAATTATTTTCATGTAACAAAGTTTCAAAATTTCCTATTTTGCATCCATTTTGACTGGTAACCTGTTAATCTTGTAACATTTGATGACGTGGATAACCGATTAGGAAACAGTTACAGCAAAGTGGATGATAAACTTGACATCCGCGTTATCAAATGTTAATAAAATAAGAAAATTTTAAACTTTATTACATTGATTGAGAAATGTCGGAACTTTGTTATGTTAAACAGGAAATCTTGTAACTTTGTTACATTGATAGGAACCAAGACAAACTCCATTGCATTTTGATGCATTTGCCCTAAGATTTTTTAAATAACTCTGAACTAACATTCTCTCCCTAAAACCAGGCCTTTGAGATCGAAGAACTCAAACAAAAAGTGGTTGAACTCACCGAGTCAAAACAGCAGTTAGAAAACCGGAACAAAAAGCTGGCAGAAGAGAGCTCATATGCAAAAGGACTGGCCTCTGCTGCTGCAGTTGAACTAAAAGCTCTATCTGAAGAAGTTGCAAAACTAATGAACCACAACGAGAGACTAACGGCCGAGTTAGCCGCACCGAAGAACTCATCAGCCCAACGTAAAACAACAGGTCCCACTAAAAACGGACGCAGAGATACAAGGCCGAAAGAACAAAGTCCAACTCAGATGGAATTGAAACGAGAGCTTGCATTGAGCAGGGAGAGAGAGATGTCTTACGAAACGCTAATCTCGGAAAAGGATCGAAGGGAATCGGAGCTGAGACGGAGAGTAGAGGAGTCGAAAGAAAGAGAAGCGTATCTCGAAAACGAGCTGGCAAACATGTGGGTTATGGTGGCAAAGTTAAAGAGAACGCAAGGAGCGGAAACGGAGGCATCGGAGTCGAGTAAAGAGAGCCAAAGAATCGATGGTTGGGAGATTTGGGATGGGATTGGAGAAACGAAGGAGTTTGTATGATGATGCCCAAATGGTTTTTGTTTTGGTTTGTTTGGATTAGAAATGGGTCTGTTTTGTGTGCAATGTAAGAGGGTCATTTTTCAATTGGCTTTTTTAGAACCTTTAACTATTGTGTAAATCAAGTTGTTTCACTCGTGTTCTTTTAACTTTCTTTTTTGGTCCTTAGTAGTTGGTAATTGTTGGATAACGGGTTAAGTCGGATAATCTTTTAGAAATTGTCGGATTCGTCAAAAGAGAAATCCCAATAAACTTTCAAAAACAGGGAGCCTATAGACTGTTTGGTTGGTTTTTCATTAAGTCTTATATAGATATAGTTGTCTCGATGGATTAATATGTCTGTATAGATTGGGATTGGTTTTGTTTGGGATAGTTTTTTAATAGATGGAAGGAACGTGTTTTTTTAACAGGGAGGGACGAGTTTGGAGAAAACTTGGCTTTTTTTTTACATAAATTATGTTCAGCTTCTACCTTCGATAACCTTCATTGAAATTTGATATACAAGTAAATTATGAATCTAGTCCCTATGGTTAGGTTTTTTTATACAAAATTAGTTTCTATGTGACCACAGGTTCACTTAGGAACATTGTTCAACGTTCATGTACTCAACAAGTTCATTTATGAACATTGATCGAACAATTCACATGAACCCTTGATATGTGTCCATCGCGTTGTTTGCATATGAATAAAATGGAATTGTTCATTCATGTGTGCATTGTATGTTCATTAAAGGTTCATTCATGTGATGGTCTTGAAAACCAACCCAAATTCTTAATTTGGTTAGGTGGATCTTCATCTGTTGCCTAATGATCAGAATGGCTATAATCATGGAATAATTAAGAAATGTAACTGACAGTTAATATTATGCATTAAAAGAAAGACCAAATAGAGAATTACATTTTTACCCTCATTAAATACCAACATCACGTGAATTGATCAAAAATATATCTTGTTTCTAATTGGTGAATAATGGTTTATAAAGTTAACATAAGTGAATTGATTAACCAAACATCTTGTATGTATGCGTGCGTGCATGGGTGCATGCGTGCGTGTGTCTGTATGTATGTATGTGTGTGTGTGTATGTATGTATGTATGTATGTATGTATGTATGTATGTATGTGTATGTGTGTATGTGTGTGTGTGTATGTGTGTATGTATGTATTTATGTATGTATGTATGTATGTATCGAAAGTTGATATTGTGAATTATAAAATCACAATTTACAAAAAAAACATGTAGACCAATGTATAATCGTGTATCCGCACTTCATTATGAGTTAAAAGAAGTATAAATATGAACTCGTTTAATTAAAGGACGATCGTAATAATATGTGCAGATTTAAAGTCTGACAACATTTATGGTTAGGGTTCATCAGAAATTAACATACAATGATAATTTGAATTCCCGTTGCTAGGAACGTTGAATGTTAGTCGTAATTTAGGACGACACATGAAAATTTTATTTTCTATGAATATACAGAAAGTTAGGTCTTGAGACAGTAAAACCTAATTTTTCAACAGTAAAAATCACATTATGACACGTTCAGTGTCATCATGCAGATAATATACTCAACAACATATTAGGATTTTTATCGAAGATCGTATATTAAAAGATATGTTATGAAAATAAACTGGCATTCTATTACACCCCCCCTTCTTCTTTTAGAACGAAGGAAGAGGGAGGGTGTTCACGAATTTGTCACCGGAATCAAGAACGGATTGTAGATTTAAGCCTGAATTGAGATGGGGATCCACGTTATTTAAATTTCATTAATATAGTAGATCGTTGTACGACCATATTTGGTAAGTTGAATCAACGTGATTGCATGTGTTTTTGGTTTAAATTAGTAACTCGAATCAAGGTGTACATGTGTTTTCAGTTTTAATGTACAACATGTTATGTGTAATACGGCCTTTTTAAGTATAAATCGCAAAAATCACACACACGTTCTCAAAATTAAATGAGGTCTGAACCCTAACATTCAAGGAGGTCGAGATCTATTGGTAACCTAAGTGTCACTGGACCATTAACCGCGTAATATGCAATAAATATATATATATATATATATCATTTTCATGGGAAAACTACGTTAGCGCGTTTCATGGCACGCACATGTATGTTAAGCTTTGTTTTGGTATCACAACGTTAGTTTACGATTGGGAAAAACAGTTCGTTGGAGTTTGGAATTGTGAATGAAAGGCAAAAACGAATATAAACGGTTCGAAACTCATCTGGTAATTTGGATTTTATCTGTAACAGGGATAGTTTTTGACGATTCTACTCCTGTTCTCTGACGAGGGATTCGAAAAAATACATCAGGCTGTATGTTGGTGCATACATGTTGACATGCCTAAATTTGACAGCATGCTTACATGAAAAGTATGTCACGAATGTTGTTTATATGTTTTCGAGAATTTTTAAACCGTGTTTGGCTCCGTGCTTACAAAACTATGCTTGAATCCCGTGTGAGTAAATCGTCGTAAGTAATGGAACGATGAAAAAAATATCTTCGAATGTTAAGAAGGTTAAATTTCGTTAAGTTTCTTATAAATAATATATGTTTTGCATCGTAACTTTTAATCAGATACTGTTCATAATGAATTTATTGAAAGACCCAAATATTTTTAAGTTGATGTAATGTTGTTTTGACCGTGTTGGATGCATACACACACATAGAGAGGGAATCATGTGCATACTGTATATATAATGATTATTAAGATATTTATCAATTTTATGTAATTTTTTCTTGAACCTGATCTTATATATATAACAGGTTCAGGGATGAAAGATTAAGAAACATCTTGATAATTGTTCATCTGGACGGTATGCACATATGTCAATTTGTCCGGTATGCACATCTGAGACGACCCCAATTTTTTTTTTTCAAATAGTGGCACCATTTGACTATAAGAAAAAAATATAGGCAAAAAATTTTAAACTATGGCACCGTTTGACAATAAGAAACAAATATACATAATTTTTTTTTTCTAACGATGGCACCATTTGACTAAGAAAATGACAATAACATGATTCAAACTTTAAGTATGGGGTGGAATAAAAGCCTTACAAGCCAACTCTATCAAATAAAACTTATTCTCATTGTAGTTTCAAAATACATACGGTGATACGTTTCACGAACCTAGTTTTTTTTATCTTTCGACAGATGAATAATACAGTGGCACGTGTCATTATATGTACCACTATAGGTCTGTCCATAATACACATGTGCAAAAAAACAAAAAAACAGCTCAAATTCTTTATATATATATATATATATATATATATATATATATATATATATGTACCTACCATCCAGATAAATGGCTACAAAAATGCTCTTCAAAATTTTCCCCATAAAACTTTCTCTCTATATATATAAAACTATAAATATATTGAAATACACGAGTGCACATGAAACAGTAGTCTAACTTCACATGTTGAGCACCCACAATGATGCTTTTTGAAGCCTTTTCCTTATTAGGTTTTTTATTTTTTCAACAAGAAAAAAACACCAAAATATTAAATTTATTTACTTTATTATCTTTTTTTTACCTTTTTGTTTTTGTTTTTTCCCCCTTCTGATTTATTTTAATCTATTTAATAATTATAAGTGTTTTTCACCAAAATATCAAAAAAAATACTTAATATATTAACAAAATAGTCATTTTCTTAAGTTTTTCACAAAATAACCATACAGATCTCCCCCGGAGGCATGTTGACCATAAGGGGGCGATCCAACCTTCTTTGACCCAAAAAAGTATAATTTTTTTTAAATTGATTTGAGGCCCATATGTATCTGATTTGAGGGACAAACATATGATTTGTCTTAAGTAGGGGGAAAGCCCCCACCTCCCCAGGATCTTCCCTCGCTCCAGATTTGACTACTAATTTTTCTTCTAGTGAGGAAATTGATTTGACAATTAAGAGGTGCTTTTCAATAAACGGAAGATGATTTTGTCTAGTTTTTTGACTGTTTTTGGACCAAATGTTGTGGTTTTACTATGTAAAATCAAACATTTATACTCTCACAATCTGTAATCCTTAAACACAATCTACCATCACAACTCTTAACACATTATGAAATCACGTCAAACTTTATAATTTTACACTTTTTTTAAACGTATAAATGAACCAACTATAAATAAATTAGATACATGTGGTCCCCCAAATCAATTTAAAATATCTTTTTATACTTTTTTGGGTTAAAGAAGGGTGGATCGTCCCCTATGGTCAACATGTCCTCCGGGGACAATCCGTGTGGTTATTTTGGTAAAAACATGAAAAAATGGTTATTTTGTTAATATATTATATATATATATATATATATATATATATATATATATTGGTGAAAACCCCTAATTATACTAACATACCTAAAATATAAAATTTAATATAATTTTCAAGAATACAAGATAAAACATATACGATATAAAATTTCATTAAAATATAAATATAAAATATTTCATTATTAAACTAATTATTTATGCAGATATAAATAAATACGTATTTATATTCATTTAATTTTGAATATATTGATTTATATAAAAATAAAAATGTTTTAAATTAAAGAAAAGTTTATATTATAATTATCAAGGGTTTTAATTTATTGAGTTAGTATTAAATAAGTCGAAAAAACCATTCATTTTGGATGTTATTCACGTGTTCAACAATCGCTAGACATCCGACATCTATAACTTTGGCTTCTTCCAATATCATTACATAAATTATTTCCTTATACATATACATATACACACACATAAATAAATAAATATATAATATATAATTAACTTCACAAATAAATCAAAAATCTAACCAACTTTTACATACACACATATATGATATATGTAAATATATATATTATAATATATGTAATATACGTTACATATATATATGTATACACACACGTGTATATATATATATATATATATAGGTGGATGTTCAAACGAGAACCCTTATGATTTACGAGAATGCGAGAACAACTCAATAAACTCAAAATTTTTAAATTAATAAATTAACTTATATTAAGTATAAATAAATTAATAAGGGCAGTAATGTAATTAAGTAATTTTTATAATTTTTATTTTATTTTAATTAATTATAATTATCCTTTTTTTTCCTGGATTGATCACGTTCGTTGTCACTCTCTTCTCTTCCCTTGTGATAATTGTGTGATTGTGTAACCATAACCTATCGAAACCATGATCAATCGAGTGTAACCATAACCTATCGAAACCATGAATAATCGTTGTGATAAATGTGTGATTGTCTAACCTTAGCCGATCGAAACCATGATCAAATTGAGTGCTCAAGTGATGTTATAATAGTGATATCACATGATTATCACACAAAATCTTTTAGTGGATTTCGCCCGTAATCGTTGTGATAAATGTGTGATTGTTTAATCCTAACCTATCGAAACAATGAGTAATTGTTGTGATAAATGTGTGATTGTCTAACCCTAATCTATCGAAACCATGATCAAATCGAGTTCACTGTTATGATAGTGATATCACATGATTATCACACCCATATCACACCAAATCGGTAGTTGATTTCCTAAGTTCACCATAGTCTAGCGGAATTCTTGTGATAATTGTGTGATAATCACATGATTATCGCACTCAAATCACACCAAATCGTGTTGAAAAAAGCGATAACCATAATAGCCCATTATGATATCCAGATTATTGGGTTTAGTGTGATCGTGTTTTTAAAATTTTATCACTTTGAATTCCAATATTACCTTTTTGCCTCTCAAAATTTCTTTTGAATTGTTTTAATTTCATTTTTAATTTAAAAAATCTTTTAATTTTTATTGTTATCACAATATGAGGTTAATAGGTTGTTCTCGCGTTTTCGCAAATCATTGGGGTTCTCGTTTGAACTCTTCCCTATGTATATATGTGTATATAGGTGGAGGTTCAAACGAGAACACCCCCATTTTACAAAAACACGTGAACACCCTTATCACACGTGATAATACGCGTGAGGGGCCCTGTGATGTGCAGACGACTTCTACGACTTAGGCCACACCAAAGGTTGTCTGCGTCTATGATTTAGCATCACATGTGATGGTCTTGATAGATTATAGTATCATATCAACAACACTCTTATCACATATAATAATACTATTGAGGGGGCTTAGTGGTGTAAGGGCGACTTGGTCCGCAACCAAGATCGCATCGAAAATCGCTCGCGTCTCTGATTTAGTATCACATGTGTATCATAGGTGATGAAATAATAGTATTATATGTGATTGTCTATGGTAAAAAGATGTTATCGTAAAATGAAGATGTTCTCGTTTGAACCCTTCTCTGTGTATATATGTGTATGTTGCAAACCATGTTATTTATACAAACCGTACAAACATCATATCAATTATAATTTTTTTTTTCATTTTTTTTATAATTATGAGAGGTTGATTAATCATTTTTATTGTGAATGGTGTTAATCATGGATATTATCATCTTCATTATACTAATTTTAAATAAATACATAAAACAATTTCATTAAAAGTTCATAAACATTATATAAAACAATTTCATAACCATATATGAAACAACTTCATCTAGAAAAATATTATATGAATTTTTTTTCATTATATTAAACAATTTTATGAAAAAAAATCATTAAATTAAACAATAAAATTGACGGATAAATGTGGTTTGTACGGTTTGTACAAATATGAGTGATTTGCATTTGATCACTCCTTTACACACACACACACACACACACACACATATATATATATATATATGTATGAACATTTATTTGAGAACCCTTAAAATTATGATAACCTTGAAAATTGATGCATAATATGTTATTTCACATATTTTTTTATCTACGAGTTGGATTTTATGTATTTATGTCACAATTTGAACATTTTTTCTATATTTGTAAAATAAAAAAGTACAATAAAGAAGTTTCACGTTATAAACCGAATACATATAAAACAAACATATTAAATTAACATATATTTGTTTCACAAATTTAAATACACCTTTTTCCTTTTGAGCATACACCATTTTTACATAGATTATATGCTCGGATAATTATACAGTTACAACTTAAACACATTTACGAAAATCTTATTTTACTAATTATATTAATAAGAAAATTATTAAACTTATAAATTATTTACTAATTATATTAATTAAAAAAATATTTACACCAATTTTTAATAAGGACTTTGATGATTTAAAAAAAATCAGTCTATCTCTTTATATTATACAAATAAACAACTGATAAATAATTAACGATCCCGAGAAAAACCAGATTACATACGATACCGAATCAACATGGACCATGTAATTGAGGTCAAAGGAACGCAATGACTAAAACCGAAAAAGGTAGGTCCGAAGGCAATTATTTACATCCGATTAGGGTTTGCGTGTATCAAAAAACCGTTTAACGAGCATGTATCATGTTTATTAAGAGGAAAAAACACCAGAATCTTTCATAAAACAGATATCTGAATATACTGCTATAGATTGAAATTTTTAGAACCAAATACAGTATTCTTTGCAAGATTATTATCTTATATTCATATAAAGTATACAGTAATTGAACACAGATCGAAATAGCAGTGTACGAAACTACAAACGTAGTGGAAACGGTCGAGAAGCGACACGATTCGGAGACGGAAATAATTTTGGAAGAAAAAATTAAGTTTATATTTTATAAAAAAAAGTAAAAAATAAAAAAGGATTAAAAAAAATGGGAATGGTAATGTAACAGTATCTCCTCCTTTTAACCGTGACAAATGCTGAAGCCTCAATCTCACAACATACAACGATATAAATACAACACACACACACACACACACACAACCAAATCTCATCGAAAACCCTTACGTTCTTCGTCTCTATCGCTCTCTAAATTCTCAGAGATCCTTCCAACAAATCAATTCATCAGGTATATGGTAATTCGCAATTTTAGATTGAATATATACATATATTATGAACTCAATTAATCATCGCTAATCATCTAAACCCGATTTTTTCCTTTCTTTTGTTTCCCTTTTTTTCTGGATCAGATTGTCGATAGTGTAAGAATTCGCTTCGGAAATATTGTTCTTAATCGGGGACTGGATTTGGAAATGGAAAAATCGATGAAGAAATGTATGAGAGATTGAGAAAAAGGATGCCGGAATTAGCGCATGATTGTCAATTCAGTGGCGGCGACACCACGACGTCGTATGGACCAGTTTCATCGACTGGTTTTTGGTCTAAGCATCGGGATGATGTCAGCTACAATCAACTACAAAAGGTAACTTAATTAGATTTTTATTTTGTTTTTTCAGATGTAATTTTTTGGGTTTCTCTTAATTTTAATTGTCTATTTGCCGTTTTTGTTCAAGCAGATTGAGGCTATTCATAGATCTTAATGGTATTGTGGTTTATTTAGATTCGTACTTGTGAGTGAGTAGGTTTTTCATGATCTTTTTCTACCCTGTATTGGTTTAATGTTGACTGTTGGTGAAAGTGAAAGAGAAGCACCTATCTTAAGAGTTAAGACCTCCAAGTGGGCGTGTAATGAAGAGTCATAAAAAATGTTATCAGTGCTGGCAAAAGTGAAAAGGTTGTTGTAACAGGTCCTGTTACAATCAGGACTGCAATACACCATTTGTTGAAGCTGACAGTAAGACCTTTGAGTTGTGTCCCAAAGTTGACTTTGACTTCCTTTGTCTCATAAAGCAAGCTTGCATCCTAACATAAATGGGTTTTGATCTTCAAGGGTTGGGGAGGGAAATCTGTGCCATAGCATTTTTGCAAAGTAGATGTAATGGGTATACTACATGATTATGTACTTACTTCCTGGAAATACAATGCCTGAAGCATGCAGTTCTGGTATGTGTGATACTTCAAGTTGGCAATATAATGTTGAAAACAATGAGGTCTCCCTGTTGATTCAAACTAGTTAGTCATATAGGAAACATTTCGCTTTTGTATGCGATATATAATTATTTGGTGTCTGTATTTATTGTAGTTCTGGAGTGAGCTATCACCGCAAGCTAGGCAGGAGCTCCTCAGGATTGATAAGCAAACTCTTTTCGAACAAGCTCGTAAGAATATGTACTGCTCCAGATGCAATGGGTTACTTCTGGAAGGTTTTTTGCAGATTGTCATGTATGGAAAGTCTTTGCAGCAGGAGGGAACGGTTGGTCAGGGTTCTGGCAACAGACTTCAAAATTCAAAATGTCATGCTGTTGAGGATGTGTGCTTGACAATTGGGTGCAATGATGATGTTCAAGATCCATCTGTCCACCCTTGGGGAGGTCTAACTACCACTAGGGATGGAACACTCACCCTCCTGGATTGCTATATTTATTCAAAATATCTGAAGGGGCTTCAAAATGTACACGCCTGTATAATTGTCCTATTCTTGATTATTATGCTGTAGTTTCTTTTTTTTCCTGGAGTGGTAATATTTGTTATCTCACATTACACTCAAATCAGGTCTTTGACAGTGCTAGAGCAAGGGAGCGGGAGCGGGAGTTACTTTATCCTGATGCGTGTGGAGGAGGAGGTCGCGGATGGATTAGTCAAGGGATGGTGGGATATGGCAGAGGTCATGGAACTCGAGAAACATGTGCTTTGCATACTGCCAGACTTTCTGTTGACACTTTGGTTGATTTTTGGTCTGCACTAGGAGAAGAGACACGCCATTCTCTTCTAAGGATGAAGGAAGAAGATTTTATGGAACGACTAATGTACAGGTAGGTCTTGGTTATAGACTTTGTGAGGTGTTAATTAAGATAGCTCTATCATGAACTTTAGCAATTAGTATYACATCATCAACAGTTGAAGGATGTTTTGGTGTTGATATGGGAATTTCTGATGCTGCTTCCCCAAACAGAGCATGGAGACATTCACCTATCCTTATACGGTGTTGTGCAAGGGATAATGGGCCACAAGGTTGGCCATAACACTTGTTAGGATTTATGCACAAATATCAAGTTCAGCCAGTTGTCATATGTCTAGCTGTTTGGAGTGCCCATAACAACTAATTACAGTCTTATAAACAATTGAGATTATTTCTTTTCTGTCCTTCAGAATCATCTATGGGGATTTCRAGAAGGGCTTGGGCTTCCATTCTTTTTAGATCAAGTAAATCACTAGCTGRATTAGAAACGAAAAGTTAAAAGTAGACCACACAATTTATRGGGAGAAATTACATGCAATGTGCTATGTTATTGAAGGATAATACTAGAGTGATTTAGTCTTCTTTCTACTTTAGAAATACTGATAGTTATCATTATTATTTAGGTCAGTTATGTTCAATGGGTGCTGATTATGTTTTTATTGTAGAGTGGAACTTTTGTATTGGCATCAGCTCTAATGAGGCAACCAGATGATCAAATAACAAACTTTAAGATGTAAAAAGTTCTTTTTTGGTATCAGATGGGAGATGTAGGTATGCAAGTCACGTTGGATGGAAATTCTGTAGCCTGAAGTGCCTTACTTTAGGTTGATCATGATTCTTGATGCCAAGTTATTTCGATTACCTCATCTCGTTATCATACATCACTTCCTGGTGGTTTCACTTCACATTCTGCTATGTATGGCTGCACCTCTTGGTGATCTACATTCTTAGGTTTTACATGATTATTTGTAAAAAATTTAAAACATAAAGGCATGCAATCTTTACAAGCTATTAAACTCAACCCACTGTAGTGATTCGAATTGTTTTACCATAAATGTGACCTCTTTGCCTGGTCCTGATCATGCATAGAGTACTTTCTGTTAATCCATTCTTCTGTCTTTATCTTTATATTGAAATGTCTACTTCTATGAAGTGTTCCAAGCATTAGCTTTGTATTCCAGATTGTTGGGGTTCACGAGGAGATGCATCTATATTTCACTGAAGTCTGGTTTGTTAGTTGTTACTTATTTTGAATGTGAGAATCTCTACATTGAACTTCTAGAAACTTACCATATTGTAGTGTGAAAATGTCCCACTGACTGCTGTAGGAATACTTAATTTATGCATCGGTTTAGTTAATTAACAAGTTCACACGGAGATGTAAAATGAAGTGTACAGATTCTTAGAAACATCTAAATCAGGCAGCTATCAGACAAATAAAGAATTTTCTGTTAGTGCAGTTTTCAAACTTTTTTATTTCTCGCTAACTACTTAGGTTGCTTAACATGTAGATGGATTAGAGATAAATAATTCTTCAACTCATCAAACTGGAGAAAAAGATATACTAAGAATTCGTGTTCTGCAACACAGAGAAGTTGTCGAGACTGTCTAATGCCCCCATCAAACCAATACTTTGCTTGGTATTCTGGGATAGGTCAGGAACCAGAAGCAAGATTTAGTAAGAGTAATGCTCGAGCATTTGGAAGATAAAACTACATTCATGTTAAATGAATTCTGTTGTAATGAAGTTTGATGATAAGGAACAATGACGAGATAAAGTTCATTTCAATTGAATTCCAGTAGTTGGTTTAAGTCTTTCCTGATCATAGATAAGGAAAAATGACGAGATAAAGTTCATTTCAATTGAATTCCAATAGTTGGTTTAAGTCTTTCCTGATCATATGCAGGGCATTATGCTGCTACTAATTTAACTTTTGACTCCTTATTTCACAGGTTTGACAGCAAGAGGTTTTGTAGAGATTGCAGAAAGAACGTTATCCGTGAATTCAAGGAGCTAAAAGAACATAAGCGCATGAGGAGAGAAGCTCGCTGCACAAGTTGGTTTTGTGTAGCTGATACAAGCTTTCAATATGAGGTGCATTTCTTGCTATGCGTATGCTATCGAACATCAACATATACAATTTTTTTTTTTCATAACTCAAGTTTCCAGTAATGGCTCCTGCATTGTTTTATGTTACTGTTCCTACACTTGTGAATTACTCCCTTCCTCCCAAAATAGATGTCCACAATGAAAAAGGCACACAGTTTTAAGAATGTGTAAATATTACACTTTTTAATTAACTAAATGACAATTTTACCCTTAATAGTAGAGGGAGTACTGAATTTCTCTATCTCATAATCAAGGGACACTTATTTTGGGACAAACTAAAATGTAGAAATGTCGACACTTTTTTTGGGAAGGGGAGTATGTGATCTCCTGTTTCTGTCAAGTAAAAAACTGTAAGGGGCTGTTTGGTTGGTTTTTCATCAAGTTACATATGGATAAAGCTGTCTATGTGAATTAATCTGTCTGTATAGATTGAGAAGGTTTTTGTTTAGGAGGGTTTTTTCATAGATGAAAGGAGTGTGTTTTTTAATTAGGAGGACAGGTTTGGAAAAAACTTGGCTTTCTGTATAAAGCTCCCCCTTAGAAGCTTACTGAATAAGCCACTATCAAGCAGTTATGTATAGCTGACTGAATAAACTGTGAGTTCCATTAAGCTTGTTAAGCTGCCAACAAACAAGCCCTAACTCACTGAGGCAATGTTATTCTTGCAGGTAACTCTTGACACAATCCAGGCTGATTGGCACCAAAACTATGCGGACTCTACAGGAATATACCAGCATTATGAATGGGCTGTTGGAACTGGAGAAGGCAAATCTGATATATTAGAATTTGAAAATGTTGGCTTAAATGCAAGAGTTCAAGTGAACGGTCTAGATTTGACTGGTTTGAATGCATTGTATATCACTTTAAGGGCATGGAGATTCGATGGACGCTGCAACGAAGTATCAGTAAAAGCTCATGCTTTAAAGGGGCAGCATTGTGTTCATTGCAGGCTTGTAGTTGGCGATGGTTTTGTTACAATCACAAGAGGAGAAAGCATTAGGAGGTTCTTTGAGCATGCAGAAGAGGCTGAGGAAGAAGAGGTGATTAAGTGATTTTGATTTTTGAACACACTTTCCTTTTTTAAGCTTAACGGATCATTTTTACTACTCTTTCCGTCCCGAAATAAATACCTACCTTTCTTTTTTAGTTTGTTCCAAAATAAGTGTCGGTTTTCAAAAGTAAGCGTCTACTTTCAAATTCTACCCTTGATTATGAGATAGAGAAATTCACGCTTTTGCTATTATTAAGGGTAAAATTGTTATTGAGTTAATTAAAAAAATCCAATAATTACACATTTCTAAAACTGTGTCTATTTCATACATGAATATTTATTTTGGAATGGAGGGAGTATTTTCGTGCAAATAAATGTAATTGTTTATTTACTTGCATGATTCTTATCAATGGAAACTGATTTCAGGATGATGATTCCGTGGACAAGGATGGGAACGAGCTAGATGGAGAATGCTCCCGTCCCCAAAAACATGCGAAGAGTCCAGAACTTGCTCGAGAGTTCCTTTTAGATGCCGCAACAGTTATTTTTAAGGAACAGGTATATTCAAATACGATAAAAGAAATTATATTTTCTTGCGTTTGTCTGTGATATGGACTTCTATTTTCTTCATTGTGGATGTTTATATGCATCTTTAAGAAATCTTGGATACTTTTTCTCGATACTTCATTTTGGGGGCTGTGTGGTTGGTTTTCTATCAAGTCATGTATGGATAAATCTGTCTGAATAGATTGAGAAGGTTTTTGTTTGGGAGGGTGTTCTCATTGATGGAAGGAACGTGTTTTTCAATTGGGAGGGGGAGGTGTGGAAAAAACTTGACTTTTTGTATAAAGCTCTCTTAGAAGCTTACTGAATAAGCCATTTTCTATATCATTAAGCCACTACCAAACAGCCATGTATAGCTTAAGATCATTAAGCTGCTAACAAACAGGCCTTAGATGTAGTAAAGAACAGGACTGCCTTTCCTTTTCGGACCAATCAAACATTAATTTAATACCATACAACGTATTATTGCGGTTTTTGTAACAAAAATCATGCGTAATTAGTTGTGATTATTTTCCGTAGGTTGAAAAGGCTTTCAGAGAAGGGACTGCACGTCAAAATGCACATAGCATGTTCGTATCTCTTGCACTAAAATTGTTGGAAGAACGTGTGATGGTCGCATGCAAGGACATCATCACTTTGGAAAAACAGGTAAATTCTGGTTTTTTTTTTTTTTTTTGCATCTAGATATGGTATTATCGTTGTAGAGGAAGTCTGAATGAAAGCCATAAATAATTTTGAGAACCGGTATATGCATATATAGGGTTGGGTTCCGGTGAGGAAAGTTAAGGTGAGAAACGTAAGAAGGGATCTCCACCCTTAGATGCATATTAGGATGAGATGCACCGGATCAATCCCCGTATCAAATGCGATTCGTGGGTGGGTTTGAGATTAAAGGTGATCAAGGGTCCGAATCCCTTCTTACGTGTCTCACCTTAACTCTCCTTCTCACACGATCCTTTGCCGGCACATATATATATACACACATACATATATATATATATATATATATACATACATACATACATATATTTACATATATACATAGATATATATACATACATGCATATATATGGGGGATTAATCATTTGAGAACCCATTAAATTGTGATAACCTTGAGAACTTGTGCATCATGTGTTATTTCATATGATTTTTTCTATCAAGGCATACTATTTAATGTATTGATTAACATATATTTGTTTCACAATGTGTTTGTTTTATATATATTCGTTTCACAATTTGTTTGTTTTTTCGTGTATTTTGAATTTCACAAACACGTCAAAAAGGTTTGTGAACCGAGCATATGTGAAACAAATGTATGTTAATCAATATTCCAAATTCTAGTCTTAGATGAAAAAGAATCATATGAAATAAACATATGGTGCACAAGTTCTCAAGGTTATCACAATTTCATGGGTTCTCAAAAGAAGATCCCCATATATATATATATATATATATATATGTGTGTGTGTGTGTGTGTGTGTGCAGGCGAAGGATCGTGTGAGGAGAATTAAGGTGAGATGAATAAGAAGGGATCTGGACCCTTGATTATCTTTGATCTCAAACCCACCCATGAATCTGATATAGGGATTGATCCGGTGCATCTCTTCCTCATGTGCATCCAGGGTGGAGATCCCTTCTTACGCTTCTCACCTTTAACTCTCCTTCTCACAGGAACCCAACCCTACATATAGGGTCCTAGGGGAAAACCGCAAAAAGAATGAAAACTCGAGGAACACCTTGGTAACCATTTATCTATACGATATACACCTGTGCATTATAAGTAATATGTAAGCAATTTGTTTGGTATGCACATGTGCATAACATGCGCACGTGCATAAAACCCAAGAAACAACTTCACTTGTATGCATATGTGCATATTGTCCATATGAATGGGTACCAAAGTGTTCCTAGGTTTTTCATTTTATTGGGGGTTCTCCCATAAACCTCCCTCTCTCTCTCTCTCTCTCTCTCTGTATATAGTCCCCTTCTTTGGCAAACTCTCTAATTGTTACAAACCATGCAAACCAATCTCAACCACCCATCTAGGTTAAAGAATATATGGTTCCATAAATATCTCGATTGTTTTCTACTTTAAAGTGTTGATCGTAATTAATGAACTCTGATCATCTTCCATAAATATCTTGATTATAATAAATGAACCCTGGTCATCTTTAATATATATCTCAATTATTTGGTTTGTAACAATTAGAGGATTTGCGAATGGTTTGGACTCTCTCTCTCTCTCTATATATATATATATATTGATGCATATACGCTATCAAAATATGTCTGTTAATTAGTATGTTCATCGATGTATATGTGAATTCATAGTACATATGCATCAATGCATATATTGGTTCTCACGGCTCTGAAAATATTTGTGGTTTTCATCTGAACCTTCTCCTATTGTTGTATGTTGTGTTATTAACTCTATTCTTTCAGTTTAAACTCCTTGAAGAAGAAGAGAAGGAGAAGCGTGATGAAGAAGAACGAAAAGAGCGTAGAAGGGCAAAAGAAAAGGAAAAAAAACTTCGTAGAAAAGAGAGGCTGAGGAGTAAGGAAAAAGAAAAGGAAAAAAAATGTTCTCAACCTGGCCAAATTCCTGCGGTTCCCGATGCCAACGAGGAGTTAACGAGCGTTCATGAAGACCTAAATGACAAAAGTGAAGCATATTGCGAAGAACGAGAAGATGCTCTGTTTTCTATACCTGCATTAGAAGATTGTATTCAAGAGGAGCAAATACTCAACTACGACGAAAGTTCGAATGCGGAATTCAGTTACGAGAAAGACGGAAATGCATCGTTTGCAAGCGATCAATCGAAACATCCAAGGAGGAGACTGAAATCATGGAAAGATTATCAACTCGATCAATCCTCAAAGTGGTCCGATAGACGGCGGTTCACAGCTGGCTCCGAAAATGGGTCGATGGTCAGCAAACCTGCGCCAAGGTTCTACAGTGATGGCTTTGAAACTTCTTCAAGAAATGGTAATTTCAATGGAGTAAATAAGCCGGCAAGAAGGTCTAATGGTGCGAGGTACAACGAGCGATCATATTGTTCTCATAATCGGATGAACAGCAGGTACGACCCCCCTGATTGCAATTGCTACCAACAAGATTACAGACCGAAAGTTGGTAAGCAGGAACCCGATACGGATGTGTCGAAACCGTATTTTCGTGGAAACAAGTACAATAATCAAACCGAATTCGTTCGCGAGGCTTGTGGAAGATCGAAAAGCAAAATCATCACCGGCAACAATGCTGCAGGTCGAGATTCCCCATATACAAAGAAAGTGTGGGAACCGATGGAAACACAAAAGCGGTACGCCCCCAGAAGCGTTCCGGATCCCGATGACATTACTGATCGTTCTGCTACCGTCACCGAACCACCCGTCAAGATTATTAGTTCATCAGATGGGACGAATTCGGCCCCTGCCAATCGTGACGATAATGATTTGAAGGAATCAAAAAGCAGAATTCACATAGAAGCGGATGCAACCTCATCCGTAAGTGGAACAACGGATCTTTCTACCAGTAGTAACTCCAATTCCGATAGCTGCTCATCATGTCTTAGTGAGGGAGACGGAAATACTTCGTTTTCCTCTAACCCCCAGAACCCCGAATCCTCATTCACATCCGATTCGGAATATGCCAGCCATCATTCCGAAGTGATTAAAGAAACATCACTCTGCCTCGAGAACGACTTTCCCGTTATCTCGAAGGTGCAGAACACAAAGGAAAACGACGTTCTAAGAAAAGAGAACTCAGGAGAATTCTCGTCAAAAACAGCGGAAAGCTGCAAATCCGGAAAGAGAAATGACGTTACCGGCTCTCATCCGAACGTTATTCCACCGCCATTACAACCGCAAAGCCTACACTTTCCGGTGTTTCAAGCTCCTTCCATGGGATACTACCATCAGGGTCCGGTTCCATGGACCACGGCTCCAACCAACGGACTAATGCCGTTACCGCACCCAAACCACTATCTGTTTACTAGCCCATTTGGGTATGGTCTGAATGGTGGTTCACGTTTTGTTCAGTATGGTGTGGGTGGGGTTCAACCGCTGGCTCCACCACTAATGAACCATGGTCAGGTGCCAATATACCAACCAGGTCCACAGAACAGTGGTGGTAAAGACCAGACGAAAGTTGATGAGAATAGTGAGAAATTGCAGCAGTCAAGTGGTGTGGAAGAAGGAGGAGGGCAGAATGGTAATTCTAGTGCAAGGGGGTTTTCTCTTTTCCATTTTGGTGGACCAGTGGATGTTTCAAAAGGAGGAGGGTTTAAGCCAAAAGAAGAAATAGATGTGAATGCTGTTGAAGAATATAACTTGTTTGCAGCAACAAATGGAATCAAGTTTTCAATCTTCTGAATACCAACAACAACAACAACAACAACAACTACAGTTTTGAGAGGTACCCAACCCAACACAACACAAAACCATTTTTATTTGGCATGAAATAATAATATCTTGTGAAACATGTTCCTTTTTTTGGTTAGTTTTTGATTGTTTATTGTTATTGTTATTGTTTTTGGTTTGGTGTAGAGAGAGTCTGAGTTTGATGGTTTATTTTTGTATTGTTGAGGTATTTTCTTCTTTTTGTTTCTATAGCAAATGCAAAAGATAATGATCATAGACATCATCAAGCTTCTTTTTTTTCCCATTTTAATGCTTTCTTTTTTTTTATTACTATTTTGTTGTTACCATGTTTTAGCTGCGATGACTCCAAGCTGTTTGTGGTTGTCCGGGGATTAGTTGTTATGCGTAAGCTGACTAGGATAACTGGGAAAATGATTGTACCAAGTTACAAGGAACCCGTTTTTTCGTTTGATTGTAATGGAAATGAGCATTTGTCCGGACCTGCAAAACCAGGGACTGGGGATCTCCAAAAGTTAAAAACCAGGGATGGAGGTGGGGCCAGGTAACATGATTCCCGTCTCGTCCCGTCCCGATATATTGAATATATTTATTATCAATTACATTATTTACAAAAAAAATAGATATAGTGTATGAATAATATCTTGAGCTTTCTTCTTATGTAATCCCTCCATTCTAAAATAAGTGTTTACAATTGAAATAACACACGGTTTTAGGCACATAATTGTTACATTTTTTTGTTGACCAAATGACATCTTTACCCTTATTTCATTTCTTTCTCTTCACAACTCTTAAATATTTGTGCATTAAAGGTAAATTTGAGAATTTGATCATTTACTTTTGAAAGTGGACATTTATTTTGGAACAAACATAAATAAAAATGTGGAAATTTATTTTGAAACAAAGGTAGAACATTTTTTCTAACTTGTTTTTACATTTTTAGATAGAAAACATGGGAGTCGAAAATGTTTATGAATATCTGACGCTCCATAAAAGCAAAAGTTCTAAAATATGTGAGATTTAAACATGGACCACACCGGATCGAGTATGATGTTTTAACATATTTGATTCAAAATGTCTCACATATACGGGGAAAAAATCATCGATTCCCCGTTGGGGACATGATGGAGATGTGATCTTATTCCCTGACGGGGACGGGGACAGGGACAGGGATAGGGATGGAGATTGAGGATCGAGGGGGATTAGGGTCCTGCACCATTGCCATGCCTACGGGCGACGTTGCCTGCGACCTCGTGTCACGGCCATAAATCATACATGATTTTAATGTAAAATCATAGATGATTCGGTCGCTTTCTTCTTATTTAGTTACCGTTCTCGTATAAACATTGAGTTCCAATAAGAAGGAGAGTTAAGGTAAGAAATGTAAGATGGGATCTCCACTCTTGAATGCACATTGGAATGAGATACACCGAGATACACGGGATCCATCTCCGTATCAAGCGTGATTTATGGGTGTGTTTGAGATTAAGGTGATCAAAGATCAAGATCTCTTCTTACGTTTCTCATCTTAACTCTCTTTCTCACACAAAATTTCATCTCTCTCTCTATATATGTATATGTATATATATATATATATATGTGTGTGTGTGTGTATAGAAAGGGGGGGGGGGGGCTTCTTTTAGACAACCCCTTAAAAAAGTCCCCCCATGAAGCAAATATTCAATCCAAGAGCATAGTTGTCATAAAATTCCCACCATCTCTCTCTTCTCATTCCAAAGTTTTGGTCAAGTTTTATGAAAGTCAAAAACACAGGACTAATAAGTGGCCAGTTTCTGAGGACCATACACCGGCTAACTACTTTTATATGCTAATACAGCAAGGTAAAATCCTGGTTCATCGATGAACTCGACCATTGTAAAAGAATGATCCGAAGCCGCACACTCTAATGTTGGTTTATCGGGTAAGTTCGAGACTACAACATCAGGGTACTCTACTTTCTGCTGCTCCACCAGTTCTTTTCCTTTTGGATAACTTATCACAATTCTTGCACCTGTCCACCAGTTATATATAACAATTAAATAAAAGTACCATCTTGATGCTTAGGGTGCATCTGGTACATGACGGTATAAGACAGTACAAAAACTTCTTGTCTCACATTTGACGCAACATTAGACTCTGGACAAGACTTAGTGGGACACAAATGTACTTTTTTTGTCCCACCAACAAAAATCAGGTCGAAGGGACAAGATTGGTAAATTACTATACTATCAATGTCATATTAGAACCTTAAAACCTTCAGGAATTCTTTCACCTGCTTACCTCACTCTTGCTTGTCCTTACCGGTCCGGTTTACGTACCTAACGCATCCTTACAAACTCGCATTTCAAACTACCCAAAAGAAAAGAACACTGCCTACATGTTTGGTATGGGGTTTGATTTGGACTGTAACCTGGACTAGAAGGATGCTCAAGCAACTTTAAAGATTTAAGGTATATTTTTGCTCCAACAACTATGCTATAATATATGCTAAAATAGAGAAAAGAAAACAGAGAGGGGAGATATAAAATCTCCAAGTGTAGAGAAATCTCTAAAACTCCATATTTAAGAGAAAGAAATAATATTGAATTATTTCACTCCAATAGGAGACATTGGAATTAAGTGTTTAGAATACAGATAATATTTTATTAAATGTATTGAATATTTTAATAATATAATTAGTGTTAAAATTGCTAAAATAGAGTAGTTGATGGAGTTAGATGTAATATTTTTTAGATATTTTAATTTTTGATACTCTATTTTAGAAAAATTATAGCATAGATCTTGGAGATACTCCTACAATGACAATTAGGATGATAACTTTTCTTGTTTTATCTATTTTTCATCTTGCATACATCTTAGAAGGAACCTGCTAGCCTTCTCCTGTACTATACTACTCCCTCCATCCATATTTCTATTTAAGTTTGTCCCAAAATAAGTGTCCACTTTCAAAAGCAAGTATCTCCTTTCCGACTCTACCCTTAACTATAAGATAGAGAAATTCATTACTCCATCAATTATCAAGGGTAAAACTGTCATTTAGTCAAATAATAAAGCATAATAATTACACATTTAAAAATTTTGTGCTTTTTTCATTGTGGACATTTATTATGCGATGGCGGGAGTACTAAGCTTCACGAGAGAATAATAAAATTTTAGCAACATGCAGAGAAACCACAAGGTTGTAATAAGAAATATACCTGGTGAGCAAACTTTGGAGAGTGCACCAAAGACTTGATTGAGCTCAAATGGCAAAGCAGGAAGGAAGTAGAGGAACACAACATCAAAAGGTGCCCATTTTTCAGGCAAAAAAATAAGTTCTCCTTGCCAACAAATAACCTTGTCGTACTTTTCTTTAATGCAGGCTAACACGAATAGAGAGTCATGAACGACAAGCAACTGTTTGTAAGAGCATGTATCAACAACTCGATCAACAAATCCTTCTGACCCGGTTGAAATTAAAATCTTTGACTCCGCTCCAACTTTCCCAGCAGAGATGATACGGTCAGTATTTTGTTTGTAAACTTCATCAGAACTTATATCATCTGCATCAAGAAATGACCAATCTTTCTCCACAAAATCTTCAAAGTTCATGACTGGGATCGCTCCTTCACTGGAAGGAGTTACAGCATAAGTGGTTGACTTATGTGAAGCAGAAGTGGATTGGATTGAAAGCGAAGAAAGCCGGTGATTAATGAAAGAGAAATGCGATAAGCATTTATAGTTAGGCCATAACTGAAAACAAGGTGTAGGGTTACGGTAAGAAGATGGAAGGCATGAGGGAGAAGATGGTGAAAAGATTGAATTCATGGGAGTGTTATCAATTTGTTGAAAATTTTCAAACAAGCTAGGCTTTTAGGACTTCCAAAAATGACACTCAAGATCTCAATTAACTTTGTGGCGGCATTTCACAGATACAGCTAGCCTCTAATCCTGGCAATATTTTATCAGAAAGACAAAAAAGATGTTAATATTTCATCGGGAATTAGACGAATGTTAGTATCCATTCCACATTAAACACCTACTCTTACTGAACTCTTGTGATGAAATTTGGCATATGTAAGACATAGTGAGAGCCTAATGGCTGATGCTTCAACACTCTTAAGAAGTAATGGGAGTTGGAGAATAGCAAGTTGGCAACATAATGGTAAGAGATAACACCAATCAATCATAACACCACAATTTTATTACTGACATATTCTATAGGGTATATCAGTTTCCATGAGTAGAAAAAAGAAATCTGAAAACATCCACAGATGCCAACTACTTTCCAAGCAAATGGTTGATTACGATTCGTGTTTGCTCCAATTCTAGTTTAACCTATGGAACATCCAACCAACTCTATTCTGAAGATTCTAGCAAGTATTCAAGCCATGTCTAGACTACTACAACTGAGCTTATGCACCTTATCTACGATGAAGATCAATTCATTTAAAATTCTGAAGTAATGAGAAACAAAAGGCTACATTTTCTTGAGGGCATGTTTGGTCTTTGGTACATGAAAAGATATTAATTCTTTGTTATCGGAACCAACGAGTTGGAACTGGACCACATTGAGTTCACAGTTTCAACTTCTTTTGCTCAGACTCTGATTCCATCAAATTGAATTGTATTACCAAATCAACAAAACCTAATAAATTAAGCTTTGAATGTAATTCCAGACCTAAAATTAATTGCTTCTAACCAACGAGCTTTGTCTCATTTGATATCCAAGTTATTGCAGTTTCCCTCCAACCCTATCCCTGGAGGTTCAAATCTCGTGTAGACAATTCAATTCAAGGGTGTGTTGGCTTCAAAAGTTCTCCCCCAGTATAAAAACCTAGAAACAGCTGGTTTCAATAATAAAAAATACTCTCACTTATAACAGCTTAAATTACAAAAAATATTTCACTCCAATTCGTCACAGGAAGCCCTAACGTTTAAAGCTTATGCTCATGTTCATTTCTAAGTATCCTTAAAACTCATAATTTCAGCAAAAATTTTCCGAAAGTTCTAACGAAAGTGAACTTCAAGACACTTTGATCAACACAACTGATAACTGATAAATCGAAGTCACAAACTTCAATTGAACTCAATTCTCAACACTAATTTTAGTACCCTCAAAGGTACTAAATTCGAGACCAAAAGAAAAGAGAAAAAGGGTGTGTGTGTGTGTGTGTGTTCGTGCAATATAGAAGAACCTGTAATCTGAAAGGCGTTTGTGACCGCCGCTCCACCGCCGAAGGAAGCAAGAGGTGTGGCCGTCGCCGTCGTCGGAGTAGCAAGTGGAATATTATCTCCTAATCCGTTTAGAATGTCCAAAATCGTAAAATATGTTTGAAAGTAGGACCCAATAAATGCAATTGACAATATTTACAATTCGATCCCTCAAATATTCCACATAAACATTTTTGACCTTTTTTCCAAAACTAGAAAGTTATTTACCGAACGTTTACCTGGTAAGTATTTATAAAATCATTTATTTTATTGAATGAGCATAATAAGAGTCGAAAATTTTATCCAGTGAGAACAATAATACAGATAAAGAATCATATCCGATAAGTGAGGGTGACAACTCTTACTTGATAATCGCTTATCGAATAACTGTTGTATATTATATCGTTTTGATGGATTATAATCTTATCTAATAAAATAAATTCGAGTGTTAACTTTTACCGATAAGCATTTACTGGGTAAGTGCTTGTGTAAACAATCCCTAAACTTAATGATGTTAAAACTTTTACTCCAATCCCTAAAATCTATTTACATTTTATTTGGTTTTCGCGTTGGCCGTTTTTCCTTAAAAGAGTATTATTTTTTTCATTTTCAAATGTATATAAATCGCCCTAGTAAAAATCATTACAAAATACTGATAAGACTGATTATAGAACATAAGTAATATTTGGATTAAGACATATCTGATTAAAAAAAATTACTAATTGTTAAATACTTATTGTGTTCTTTAGACAGTGCATCTGATATATATACAGTAAACAAGACAAGACAGAACAAAACTTATTATCCTGGGACTGGATAGAATAAAAATACATTTTTTCTCACCAAAATAAGTGGAATAAAAGTTTTATGAAACGAGATAAAATAGATAAATTACTAAACGGGGCTCAATCATTTGAGAACTTCATATATTGTGATAACCGTGATAACTTTTATCTTAACGTATTGTTTCACATATATTTGTTTCACAATGCATTTTTACTTCATATGTATATGTCGTTCACAATGTACAACTTTTCAACGTGTAACTTTTGTTTCACAAACTAGTTGAAAAGTTTCACATTGTAAATCAAATACATATAAAACAAACAGATAATAAAACAAATATATGTTAATTAATATTCTAGATGGAAAAAAATCATATGAAATAACACATAATAAACTAGTCCTCAAGGTTATCACAATTTCATAGGTTCTCAAAAGAAGATCCCGATGGTGACAAGGAAGGGATATGACTCAACGGTAGATTAGACCAAAGAATACGATTGCATTACTAAACTAATCAAAATGAATCCTAAAACCTTTCATAATTCTTTCACTTATAATGATTATTAACAAATAAATAATTCTAAAACTATATATTTATAAAAAATAAAACATATATTTTCCTAAAAGTTCAAAATAAAATATTTTGCAATATATTAAAATTTTAATTCTAATATGTTAGAAGTTAAAAGTACAATTCAAGAAAAGCTCCCCACATATTGCCATCAAAAAATAAACCAAATTTCAACACATTTCAATCCGAAAAATGATAAACATACTGATGGGATATGAATCAGTACATTTATTTGTACTCAACAAAGCTAATCCCAAGCACTGGGTGCACCTGCGCCACCCCCACCGTAACCGCCAACACCACCACTGTATCCGCCACCGCCACCACCACCACCATAACCGCCACCACCGTATCCACCACCACCATAACTGCCACCACCGTAACCGCCACCACCGTAACCGCCACCACTGCTACCACCGCCCCTATTATAGGAGCCTTCCTTTCTAAAGTCACGACCACCAAACCGTCCTCCTGACCGCCTATTCTTACCACCATAGGACGGCCGATTGGCATATCGAGTAAGCCATGCAGGTACTTCTTGATTAGCTTCTTGAATCAAAGCAGCTAGTCCTTTCGCTAGTGACATGTTATTCTCATTGAAAAAAGCTGTAGCCAAACCCGATTTCCCAGCTCGGCCTGTCCGTCCTATCCGGTGCACATAGTCGTCAATGTCGTTAGGAAGGTCAAAGTTGACCACATGAGAAACATGAGGGATATCGAGCCCACGAGCCGCCACATCCGTCGCAACTAGTATCGGTGTGTTTCCGCTCTTGAACGATCTCAATGCTTGCTCCCTTTCCTGCATTCATTTTAGCAACAAAAATGTTAAGATAGACAAAATCTGGAAGTCGGTACTCGTTATACCCACCACCGTCCGTCCATCTAGAGTTACTCCCTCTGTCCCAATATAAAAGTCCACACAGAAAAAAACACAAATTTTAAGAAATATGTAATTATTACACTTTTTAATTAACTAAATAACTTGTTTTTCACTTATATCCTTCCTATACATTTTTCGATCTCATAATATAAGGGTAGAACGTAGACATTTTTTGAGACAAACTAAAATTGAAATGTAGACACCAAATTTAGGAAGGATGGAGTGCAATATTTTCCATTTTAGGATATATTCCTGTTCTAGAAATATACTCCATCCGTACCAAATTAAGTGTCCATGTTACTATTTTATTTTGTCCGAAAACAAGTGTCCACATTACCACGTTAGTTTGTCCTAAAACAGGTGTCCACTTTCAAAAGTAAGTTTCCAATTTCCCAATCTAACCTTAATTATGAGATGATTATCAAGGGTATAAGTGTCGTTTAGTTATTTAGAAAATGTAATAATCGCACATTCCTAAAGCCGTGTGCCATTTTCATTGTGGACATTTATTATGGGACGTAGGGAGTAATAAGTCAAAATTACATAATAAGACATTACCATCATTGTTACAACTAAATTGTTTTGGCATTTATTCAGAGGTATTTTAGATTTTAAAAAATTAATTGAGCATCTGAATGACTTGGAAGGATGATTATCTTCCTCTTCCTATTATATTTTTACCAATTAATCACAAAAACAGTCGCTCTACTCTCTTTATGGTAAGAGGTCAAATTCACGTACACCTGGGATATACTAGACTCGTTGGTTTGGTTTGGTTTGGTTTGATTGTGGGCTCTTATGATTATTTCTGTATATAAACGAGACCCATAAAAATAAAAATGTTAAATTACCAAATGAATAGAGCCTTAATGTTCTGAATATCCTATCTGACTTACCGGTTGTGATCTGTCACCATGAATCGTTGTAGCAGGAAACCCATTACTATACAGCCAATATTCAAGTGAATCGGCTCCCTTCTTTGTCTCGACAAATACTAAAGTAAGAGGTTGCTGCAAAGAATTGGTAGCAGGTAAGTCGTAACGTTCATAAACATCAACATCAATATGCATTTAGGTGGACCTAAAAATGTATAGTTAGAAGGCGTTTGGTTCGCAAAAAAGTTTTTTGAATGAATGGAATCTGTCAACGGATATTGAATCTGAAGAAAATTGGAGTGGAACTTAATCGGTATTTGACCATGAGCATTTAGTGCTGAGTTATTACCTTTCCATTGGGTCCCGTATCCTTCTGAGCATGAAGAAGGTCCATAAGATGGCTTCTCTTGTCAACCTCTTGAACCAACTCCACCCTTTGGAGAATCAAATCCGTACTCGAACCAACACGTCCGACAGTTAGAAATATATAATTTGAAAGAAAATCAGATGCCAGTCTCTGCAAAACAAGCAAAAGTCATCAGAAAACTCTGGCTCATGCCATCAGTCAAAGACATCAATGGGAAGTTTTCACCCCCTTCAGATGTGTTCTTCCTATCATAAATAAGGGGTCGTTCACCCAAATGCTTACCCGGTAAGCGCTTACCAATAGGAGTCAACAATATAATTTATTTTATACATCAAAACGGTATCGTATGCAACAATTTACCCAGTAAGCGCTCACCTGGGTAAGAGTCGTCACCCTCACTTACCGGGTAAGACTCTCCATCCTTATCACCGCTCGTACCGGGTAAGATTCTCGGCGCTTGCCATGTTCATCAGGTAAGGAAAATTACCCGCCAAGCACTCACTGGGTAAGCGTTTAGTAAACGGCCCCCAAGTAAAAAAACTATATATATACATGCATAAATATTTAATACGGGGCAAGTTCAAGTGAAAACCGTAAATGTTTTGAGAACATGGGAACCAAGTATTCATAATTTATTCATGATCAATGTCATGATAGATATTCTTGATGAAAATTATTCATAATGAAAATATTATATATATATATATATCATGATAGATATTCCTGATGAAAATTATTCGTAATGAAAATAGATATTCATAATGAAAATGTTTGATATTATTAATTATGAAAATGCACGGTATTCATGATTATGTAGGGAGCCCATTGGAGATGCTCTAATACATGAAATAGTTGGTACACAAGATCTCAAAATATTTATGATTCTCATTTGAACTTTCCCCTATGTAAGACGATACAAATTAACAACCAGCAAACCTGGATTTCTGTAGGGAATGTGGCACTGAAAAGCATTGTTTGTCTTCCACCTTGTGGAGGCATGTCTGTTTCCTCCACAATTTTTCTGATTTGAGGCTCGAATCCCATATCCAGCATCCGATCGGCTTCATCAAGTGCCAAATATCTTATCATTTGCAATGAAACTTTTGCCCTTTCCAGCATATCGACTAATCTTCCTGGAGTTGCCACAAGAATATCAACTCCTCTTTCGAGCTCTCGTAGCTAGCCATGAATGTTATACCATTAAAAACCATCAGAAATCATGATAAAAGAAGCCAAAGGAAACCCATAAAAAGGGTCAAGAAAAAGAAGTCATCAATGTCAACTGAGTAAATTAGCCTTAGTTCAAGGTTACCTGTTGACTAATCGGCGCTCCTCCATAAACCACCACCACCTTTACACCTGTCTGATATGCAAACTTTTGAGCTTCGGTGTGTATCTACATGTAATGCAACATAGAGATATATCAACCATGCCAACAATATAAAATCAAACGAAACGAACTCAGTATATCTCACATATAGGTAGAGTCTGGGAAGGTAGGATGATGTACACAGACCTTACCTCTATCACAAATGGGTAGAGAGGTTGTTTCCATAAAGATCCCAGATTGCAAAACAAGAAACAATATGAATACATAAAAATCTGTGAAGTTAGCCATAAATCAAACCTGACATGAAAGCTCCCTTGTAGGAGATAGAATAAGAGCAAGGGGGAAGACGGTCCTGGTACCACGTGGTTTTTGCACAGATTGGGCTCTCATAATCCCACTAATTATAGGGAAGCAAAATGCGGCTGTCTTTCCTGAACCTGTCTGAGCGCAAGCCATCAAATCTCGACCTGCTAAAGAAATGGGAATTGTATAGCGTTGAACCGGAGTTGGCTTAACATACTTGCACCTCCTAATGTTCAGATTAAGAGCATCCCCTAAGTCTATATCCGCAAATGTATCAACTGGAGGTGGCACGTTCTCCCCGGTGGTTTCAACCGGAATATCCTCATAAGCATCAAAATTAATACCATTACTTTCTTGCTCAGACTTAATCTCCTCAACAGCATCTATATCATCATTACCAAATGGGTTGGCCTCCCATTCTCTACCACCTCTGTTTCCCCAACCACCTCTACCACCACTTCGACCGCCAGTACTGTATCCTGGCCTGCTATAATCTGACCTAGGAGCAGCCCATCGTGATCCACTTGTTTGTCCATTAGGTCCTAACCTATCATTTGTAGATGGTAGGCTACTATGCGACATAGCAGGGCCAGCCGCCTGCTCAGATGCAGGTGGTCTATTACGAAGATGTGGAGGAACATAGGCGGGCTTAACAGGAGCTCCTGAAGCAGCATTCCCATAATTTTCAGATCCCGATGCTGCATTATCAACAACATCTGCCCAAGAAGTTCTCATGATGTATAATATATCCTCAACCTTTCCCACAATCAATATCTTGCAAGACGACAATCACCGTCCAATTCTTTAACCAAAACACACAAATGCCAAAAACGTTCCTACCAGATTGCACTCAACACCGGATCTAAAGAATTAACCTTTTAACCCGCAGATCAATCCCTGATGAGACAGAAGAAGAAAAAGAACCCAAAATCAACAGTGTAATAATACATTAAGCATACATTACCCAAAAATCCAACATCTCGTGTAAAATCACATACGCATCCAATAAATCTAAACAATTGTCATATATCACGATAGAAACAAGTTGCTAAAACAATAAATGCAATCAGCTTGGATGAGCAACAGGATCTCAATTACGTAAAGCGTGTATATCCACACACACATAAATCGGTTACTGGTACACGCTAATAAAGCGCTCGTGGATTTCAAGTCTCATAAGATGCGTAACTACGACAGTATCGTCGATCATACATAAAACAGTATACCTCGATTTCATCTAAACGAAGACAGATACAAACTTGTCAGAAAGAATGAGATCGAGCAGTTCAAATGCAGAAAAATTAGCTCCAAAGACAAAGCTGCTGCTGCAGAGCGAATCTAGTTCATATAAAGAAAACCAAAAAGGAACAGACAGCGAACCTGAGATGATGATTAGGGAGCAGGCAACAATGGGCGTCTGGAGAAATTGCAGGAATTTAGGAGAATTAGAAACCCTAATAAAGAGGGATGGAGCGAAGCCAAAATATCGGATTAATAAGATATGCTGTTGAGGTGCGATTAGATATTTACTTTAGATTTTAGGCATCAAAAATCCTTACGACTTCTTTTCAATCCACGTGTTAATTTTTTTTTTATTAATCTGGATATCCAAACCGTTATACGAGCCGACTAATATTAGTACAACCACCTGTTTTGCAAATAGTCTGAAGTCATCGTATTTGAACCTTCATGACCACAAGGGGATTTTTATTCATTCTTGGATGTGAACCTGGACCTCCTGATACTTTTGACCTTTGGAGTCAAGCTCAAACCAATCAGACATCATCTTTGTGATTTATGTTATTTTTTTTTACATAAGCTAAAAAATATTTATATTTATTATTCTCGTTTTAATAAATTAATTTATGYATCGAAACTCTTTAAATCAAATKATTCWTAGACTAAKWWTCAGTGTATTATATGTTATTTCATATGATTTTTTTATCTGTGATTAAAATTTAACATAATGATTAACATATATTTGTTTCATAATATGTTTTTTTCATACATACTTGGTTCATACTTCACAATGTGAATATTTTTTGTGTGTTTGTAAAACACAAAACATGTAAAAGTTTCGTATTGTAAACTGAATAAATATAAAACAATGAAACAAATATATGTTGATTAAATATATATACTATATTATAAAGTATTTGATAAAAACTCTTAAAAACTATTTTTTATGCATGAAGTACCGTTTATTGATGCATATTACTTAAAGTTCAAGATTACAAATAAATTGTGATTAAGTACAACTTATTAAAGTTTTATGTTTGTATTCGTGTAACTAACTGTAGATAGACATAGTGAGATAGAAGATAAACATTTTATTTTAAATATAAAAAAAATTAAAATATAATTAAGATAATCATTGAGTTCAACAGAATACTTAATTATTATCTTTATAAAAAATTATATTATTAAATCAAAAATAAATTACTTCACTATTAAATTATAATAAGAAAATTGAATTAAAGAAATATACAAAAAAACAAGAATTTTTAAATAGTTAATTTGATAGTAATATTGATATATTTGTTTTTCAAATTTTATGATATCTGCAAATTTATATTTTACTCAAAAATAAAAACATTATTTTTTTCTCAAAATCACATAAAAACCGYATTAAAACATCTACAAAGACGAAATAAAACGAAACATTAAAATCGAGATATATCCCGCTACATTATGCGAGTATCCTTCTAGTATTAAATAGTATATTTAGATGGAAAACATCATATGAAATAAAACCTTATTAAGATAGAATTTCTCATAAATCTCATAAATTGTCAAATGATTAAAAAAACATGTTTGGGTCAAGTCATTTATTTGTTAACTAAGTGGTTGTTTGTTTACCTCTTAATAGTTCAATTAAGAGTCGGCATCTGAATCGCTAATAGATGAATTTTGCTTGGTAATGAAATTAGAGCGTTGAATGCTTAAGGGATGTCCATGATACAAAATCATTTAGAAGGTTTTATAACTCTTAAGGTCAGTTTTTTGCCAAACAAGATTCTCTTCTTAATGATTGTTTCTTAATGTAACTATTAAGAGATAAACAAACAACTCATACAAAACTTAAGTTTGATCTTTAAAAAGTATAAAATAACACGTACAAGTCAAAAGCACAGGAACTAAACAACTCGCATAGGCAGGGCTCCACCGCATGCAACAAGAAATTGTCGAGATCCGGAACCGTGGTGGCTAGATGCCAAAGCCATGTAAGAGGTGGCTAGGGGTTCAAAATCATGGCTACAATGATGAAGGTTCGGATATCAATACAACTAGGGATTAGACCATGCTATGATACCATGTAAAATAGGTGTATACTGATTTCCAATACATTCATTGAGAAAAAAAATGTACATCCTTATATATTTACCACTAGGAAACTAATAAAAGTTAACTAGAAATATAAACCTTATTGTCACAATTTTTTAGTACAATGTATAACAGATCTTTTTAGGATGTACACATGTGCACATACAAATAGTTGAAATTATGTAGGAACAAATTTTTCAGCGAGAACAATGAGAATTAATATGAATCTTTGAATAATTTTTTTTATCTGTTGGCTCACAAAAAACGCAAAATTTCATCTACCTTCATCTGATGGCTTAGAGAAGAAAAGGCAGACCTTTATATGCCTTCACCTTTCACAACATGAATTTGTTAAAGCTTCAATATGGTGATGAAAGTATAGATGCAGAGGTAAATGAAGATAGATGACTCTTTGTGTTCTTACTGTTCTCGCAAAAAACTATTATTATCAAAACCGACCCTACATACATACATACATACATACATACATACATACATACATACATACATACATACATACATACATGCATGCATGTATGCATGCATACATACATACATACATACATACATACATACATACATACATACATACATACATACATACATACATACATACATACATGTATATATATAGAGAGAGAGAGAGAGAGTGTGTGTGTGTGTTTGATTCATGGGAAAACTCCAAAAAAAAGAAAAAAAAATGAGGAATATATTGATAACGATGACCATTCATGTTCATATGCACGTATACCTACATGTAATTGAAGATATTTCTTCGTCTTTATATAACGTGTGCATCATGCACACGAGACAAATTACTTGTATGGATATGTCATATCGTACAAATCAATAGTTATTAGGTTGTTCCTCAGTTTTTCACTTTTTCAGAGTTTTCTCCTGAAGTTGATCCTCTCTCTATATACACCAGAAGGGTACTCGTGCAATGCATCGAGACACATTTCCATTTCAATGTTTTGTTTTATTTTTTATCCATGTCGATATAATACAATTTTATGTGGTTTTGAGAAAGCGAAAATGTTTTTATTTTTGAATAAAATATAAATTTGAAAATATCATATAAAATTTGCAAAAAATATATCAATATTAATATCAAATTATCTAATTAAAAGTTATTGTTTGTTTATTTTTTTTTTAATTCAAAATTTTTATTATAATTTAATTTAACGTAACGAATTAACTTAATTTAGGTTTAATAATAT